TCCAATCTCGTATCCATGTCGCACTGCGATACGGAGACCTTACCACCAAAGCAAAGAGGAGCGTCTGGAAAATGTTCCTGGAAAGGGTACAGGCGAAAGAGGGCGTGCAGACTGCAAAATTCACGGACAAGGACTTTGATGCGCTGGCACGCCACAATCTGAATGGACGCCAGGTAAAGTAACCTTCTTCAACCACATATCGACCGTTACTAACACTCTTTCTAGATTAAGAACTCTGTCCGCACGGCGCAAGCGCTTGCAGTTAACGAACAGACTCCCTTGTCTATGGGACACATCAGACGTGTCCTTGAAGTCGCTGAAACTTTCGACCATGACCTTCGCGGCGGAACAGGCTACATGGACGCCATGCGAAGCTATACGTAACACGGCAATTCGCTTCGAATTCACTATGCTGATGACTTTCCTTCTCTATTGCTTCTCCGCGTTACTGTCGTTTAGGAATACCCTTGCTTTTGCTCCAGAGACAGTTGCTGATCATTTCGGTTTGATTTTATCTAGCTCAAGCGCCGTTTGATCATTCTCGCTCTTGTGTTTGTTTTTCTGCGATGCAGTTTATGATACGGCCAAGATCGGCGATTGATACGTAACAGTCATTCGCCCAAGGGAGGAAATATGCCTGATACTGAGAAAAGCTAGCGAGAATGTTGAGGGCGAATCCTTCTGAGGGCATTTGTCTTGCTCAGGGACACTATATGTCAAATGAATACGAGCGAAGAACGAATTCAGGAACAAATTGAAACTTTCATTTATAGGAAATACATGCCATCTGCTTTTCCCATGAAATTCTCGCCAGTCATCAAATCTTCGTCAAGGGAAGAGAAAATGCTTCAAACTCTGCAGCCGCATTCATCCGGTATCAAAGTCGATGCGGGATGCGAAGCATATAGAAAAGGCGGGAATAATAGGCTAATGACAAAGTACACAAGTGACTGTTATACAGGGAAGAACGTAGCTGCAGAATAATTCACACTTAATTGGGAAAGACATTTAAGGGTTCTGAGCGACGAAGTCACGACCCTTCTGAATGTTCTTCTTGAGATCAGCGAGAGCAGCCTCGATGAGCTTCTCTTCGTAGGCATTGACCTTGCCAACCTCAAGGATCTTCTCAACACCGTTGGGGCCGAGCTCGACACGGGAGGCGAAGAAGTCAACGCCCTGGTCCTTGTAGAGAGGGCTGTCAACGAAGGTGGGCTCGATGACACCCTTCTCGCCCTGAGCGGCCTTCAGGAGGGACTCGGCGAAGCGAGCACCGGCCATGGCCATGGAGAGGGTAGCGGAACCAGCACCGTCCTTGGCCTTGACGACCTCATCACCGCCGAACTGTATGCGGTTGACGAGCGCATCGCGGGTCTCGCCCTCAATAGTGGGGTGGTTAGACTGGGAGAGCAGAGGAACGATGGTGACACCGGAGTGGCCACCAACAACAGGGACGGCCTCGTTGGCGGGGTCGGTCTTCTTGACCTGGGAGATGAAGCGGGAGGCACGGACGACATCGAGGGTGGTGACACCGAAGAGACGCTTGGGGTTGTAGACACCCTTGGACTTGAACACCTCAGCGACAATGGGGACGGTGGAGTTAACCTTGCCGTGACATTAGTGCTGCTGATCTAGATATGATTGCTCGGGATACGTACGGGGTTGGCGATGACCAGGATGTTGGCCTCGGGAGAAGCCTCAGCAGCAGCCTTGGCAAGGTCACGAACAATAGAGGCGTTGGTGTTGAAGAGGTCTGCCAATAGCAGCGTCAGTCATTTGTGCTTGTATAGAAAAGGCAAATCAACATACCGTCACGGGTCATGCCGGGCTTGCGAGGAACACCGGCAGGGATGAGGACGATCTCAGAGCCCTTGAGAGCATCGCGGAGGCCAGAGGCGGTAGGGTCGTAGCCAGTGACGGTGCTGTTAGTGTTGATGTGGCTCAGATCAGCAGCAACACCTGTCAAAAAGATTCGTCAAGTCAGCATAATGGAGTATTGGCAGTTTGGTAATGCAAGTTTCGGGTGTCCGGAGACATACCAGGGCCACCGCGGATATCATAGAGAGCAAGCTCAGAAACACGGGGGTTGAGCTTGAGCAGGAGAGAGAGAGGCTGGCCAATGCCACCAGCGGCACCGAGGACAGCGACCTTGGAGGCCTAAAGATGAAAATGGACATGGTTAGCACATTGGCAAAGCTCCGAAGTACCGAGCCGAGAGATGGAAGAATGTGTATACATACCTGGCTGGCAGAGGCAGAGAAGGCCCGCTTCTGGAGGAGGTTGAAGGACTGACGAGCGGCGAACATTTTGTCTATGGTCCGAAGACAAAGAATTGATCTATCCTCGAAAGAAAATGAATTGAGTAGAGAGAAGAATGGAGATGAGCTGGATGGGGAAGAGAGGGAAGAAAGAAAAGTAAGGAGGAAGAGGTGCCGGTTGCCGGTGAGAAGGATTTGGGGCGGCTAATTCGCTCCGTTTCCGATCATCTCCACAGCGTGTTGCGGAACTTCTTCGTGCGTCACATGGGGATTTAACTAAAGTGCCTTGATTTTTCTGGGGAAATGTCTTTGCTCTCCATGATATCTATCTCTAAACGATGAAAGGACCTGTGTGGCAGATATTACTTTTTACTAACTTGTTGTTGCCCCGTCATTGACACTCCATTACTTGGTCACTCGTGTGGGTTATTTATTTGTTCTTTGGAGAGCCTAAGCTTCTGACCAAATTTATTGGGACCGGGTTCCCTTGAGCAAGTACTGTGATCAATTGCGGGCGAACATGTTTGATTATCCATTCAAGCGATTTACTGGATTCCTCAGTCTTTCACCCAGTAGCATCGGGAGCAAGAAATTACCTGTCTAAGGTCAGAAAGCCGAGACCAGACAGGTTGCAATGCGAACTGGAGATTGGCCCATCAGCAGCAGCTGGAGGAACTCAACTACATGCTCCCTTGCGCTCTTTCCATCCCTTCGTACCCTACTACTACTGTCTAGTGCACCGCAGTTCTAGTGCACATCCTCCGTATGGATGAAAAGGCAAATCTCCTTTGACTCCAAATGAAACTCCAAGCACTTGAGAACCATGGCGCAGAACGCGACAAACATAAATCGGAAGACAAAAACAAGATCAAGGAAGACCGGAACGCCTGCGCTTTCAGACCCACCCGAAGCAAGAAAAATGCATGACGCAGGAGGAACAGTCCCAAAGAAATGAGTATATAGACACATAAGATCTACCTCAAAAAGTGTAATACCAACCAGCAAAAGAGAAAGAAAACGAGAACACCGCCCCAAAATATCCACTTGTCCTGCTTTGCTCTTCGTTCGACCTTTCGAATCGTGTCTCCACTCACACCCAAGGTATTCGCAACACTGTATAGCCGGCGCTGCGTGCCTTTCAGCACCTCGCGTTGTTGCCCAAGGTCTGCCAGAACAGCGCGGCCTCGATCGAGAAATTCATCAAGTTGCGAGTTCGTGTTGGCAAAGAAGGATTGCTCTCGGAGCGCATGCGTCTCCCTGTTGTAATCCGCCGGTGAAGCTCCAAAGCTGAGACCTGAGCGGGACGATGAAGCGTTTGCGAAAGGCGAAGATTGAGGGAGGGAAGGTTGGGCGTACGGATTCTCGGGAGTCGCCGCGTGGTGTGGTCGTCGGCCAAGCAGCTCATTGCGATTTGTCACCGATTGCTATCCACCAGTGCACCATAGTTAGCGATTGCCAGGCCTCATATACAAGGGGAGGGGCTTGACTAGGAAGAGCTTACAGCTTCTTCCCGCTCCTTTCGGAGCTGATCAAAGTGTGTCCTGTAATCCGCAAGCTCAGCGCGAAAGTTCTTCACTCGTTCAAACGCCTTTTCTTGCTTCTCAGGTATCAGTTCCTTCTTGGACAAGGCGGAGTAGTCATCAATAGTCCGTGATAGCGACGCCAAGGAGGCTGCAATCTGGCCTAATTATCCGCGCATTAGCAAGCCACATAGAATAATAAAGAGAGCCATCAGCGGTGAACTTGTAGCCGTGACCGGATCTGGCGTAACAGCGCGTGTCCTCGAGCCGTACCTTGTAAAGCTGCAGATGTTGTTGCGGGCGACTGAGAGAATGTGTCCAGATCGCGGCGGATAGCAGAAGACTGCTTGAGTGCTGAATTGAAAAGAGAGTTCTGTAATCAAGTAGGGAAGTCATACGTCAGTCATCAAACAATGCGCTTCGATCGATGGCCATGGTGGGATTCACACACCATATTTGCGTTTGCAGGAGCTATCGAAGAGAGCTGTTTGTTTTTGTATGGTTTACAGGTAGAACAGGGTATGCTCCATAGGATCGGGCAAAAGACGCAATGCTCTCCAGACGTATATTCGAAGTTAAAGTCAACAGGAGCCGTTAATCGGTTGTCGAGGAAGAAGTTATAGCCCAAGGTATCCGCCCAGCGTTGCCAATAATCGTGGAAGGCCGAGGCCACATGTTCTTGCGGCGGATGCGAATTTGACGTCGTTGACCGCCTCTGACATATGAGCTGTTACTACTTGAAAGGTGGGCACTTGATCACTAGTCACCATCTAGACCTTGCAACTATCAGTCAATCATTTCTCGCCTACAATGCAATGGGGATTTTCACAGTGGCTTTATTACTATACCACTTTTATCCACCTTGTTGCTGAATGTGCCAAACCCATTAGAAACAGCTAACAGATATCTATCAGGTGTGACTTCAACTTGAGAGACGAGTGGGTTTAATATATTCGAATAAGTTACAACATGACAAGAAAAGAATCACCAACTCCATTTTCCCTGGAATTCATGTAAAACCGCTTGGTTCACCCAATCATAACTCCAAAGTGGAAATGAACTCAAGAAGCACAGGGCCCTGCTCATATCATATCCAGAGTGGTTCAAACCTAGTTAGGAGGGTACTTGTTTTGTAGCAGCCACCTAAATTCAATTGCATTAGCCCAAAATGCCCTCTGTGCTTTCCCCGTCGCAGGATGCCGGAGTTCAGAAGAAAGCTGGAAACTCACTTGCTGACAAAGTAATCGACCGTACTGAAGGCTCCGACGATCCCAGTCCATGTTCCGACAAGCTTCCACGACAGCTTGCCTTCGGCATGCTTCCTGTATGCGCCATATCCGAGCGCAGCACCGACCAGCGCGTACAGCACGGCATTTCCGAGGAAGACCGGGTTGCGCTTGGCGACATGGCCGGCGCGTTTAGCCTTCGCTTTCGCCTTCTGCGCCCTTTCCTGCTCTTTCCGCTCCTCTTTCTCCTGTGCCTCTCTTTCTAAGCGATCAGCCTGGGTAGTGGTCTTCACGTCCTGGTTGAGGAAATCCGGGTCCACTGAGACCACATGCGGGGAATCGACGTCAACGAGGGAGGCCGTGCTCTCCGCTGTTTCACTCAGATAGGTTCGTGGTGGGTTAGGGGCGCGACTGTGTTGCGGAGAGTCAGTCAATAGCCCTCAGGAACTTGGCCAATTGCAAAATAACAACTTACGCCTACATCAGAGCCGGTCAGTCAGGTCGCCTTTCGAGATATAGCATCCTCATGGGAAGCAGGACAAACTGTGGATAGGATACATACCTCCTCTGGTGTTTGCTTAGGGCCTTTGGCCGCGGCTTCTGCGTAAGACATGTTTGCAGGATTCCTGTGGTACAAACAGCTGGAGGCGATGGAAAAAAGACCTATTACCAGTCAGTGCTCCGTATTAAAGGCTGTAATGGTGAACACTGGGCGGGATATCGCGGAGCGGCTGCTCCAAGGTTGCCCACGTAATATTGTACAACATCACTTACAGGAAATAAGGTGATATTGAGAGATTCGGCGATCGAAGATAGTAATGGTGTGGGATACTGAAAGAGAACCTGGGCAGGTGATGTCTACCTCTATTTATGCAGAATGCAAGGGCCCCTAGCACCGGCTCACAAGTATGACATCACTCCCTCGGCGGGAGTGGGCACTGTGCACATGGTCCATAATAAACGCTGCCAAGGCATCATGCATCGGCCCATCACCTGTTTAGATACCCCCAATCCAATTTTGTCAGTCCAAATCCCCCTTCGTCCTATAATGTTTACCAAGTTGCAGGAAAGTTCGAAGTAAAGTGGAAATCTGTCTTCGCGGGCGCCTGGGTCACTCTGCGGTTGTCGCGTCGACTGACCTGGCGCAGTTTCCCTCCCTCGTGACAGCGAAGGGTTGCAGCAATCCTGGTCAATCTGGTTATCCCTGGTTGCGAGAGGTCAAACGCACCTTGAACCATCCTCAGATCATCCCAAGAACGCAGCATCAACAATTTGAACTAAAACCACACCTTAGCGAGTTTGAATTGTCTTAGTCATTGTTGTTCTACACGATAGGAGTGAGCTAGTATGTGGGTTGAAAGTTTCTGAAGTAACAAAAGGAATCAATATTGAAATGCTGGAATCGTACTCAAGTGACCAGAAATGGTCGGAATCAAGCTATAGTAGGTATTTTTGGGTACATATTACATGAGACCATAAAAGAAGTCCGATCTCAAATGTTACATTTGGTATTTCGGAACTTCGATTGGTCGAACTTCATTCACAGAAGAAGCTCAAGGGGATTCTCAACAATCTTCTTCAGTTCCTTGATCCATTCGGCACCAACAGCACCATCGACAACCTTGTGGTCGAAGCTGCCAGTCACGATAATCTGGTCATCCCACTCAACAGAGGTGCCCTCCTCGGTCTCAACGGGAACAGCAACCTTGCGGGTGGTGCCGACGGCCAAAATACCAGCCTGAGGGGGGTTGATGACAGCAGTGAACCGCTCAATAGCAGGGTTCATGCCCATGTTGCTGATGGTAAAAGTGCCGCCTTGGTACTCCTCAGGCTTGAGCTTGTTCTCCCGAGCGCGCTTACCGAGGTCCTTGATCTGGTTAGAGATGTTGGAAAGGCCAAGACCCTGCACGTTCTTGACAACGGGAGTAATAAGACCATTAGGAGTGGCAACGGCAACACTAATATCAACGGTGTTGTGCTGCCGAATGACAACCTGGCCGTTCTCCTCGCGCCAGCTCGAGTTGACGGCAGGAACCTTCAGAAGAGCGGCGGCACAAGCCTTGACAAGGAAGTCGTTGACGGAGAGCTTGTATTTGCCCTCAGCAGATGCGTTGAGAGCCTGGCGGAGCTTCAGGAGCTTCGTAACGGACAGAGTGGTCGAAACGAAGAAGTGAGGGTTCTCTCTCATCGACTGCTGCAGGCGGGCAGCAATGGTCTTGCGCATAGATGTGAGAGGGATGTCTTCATATGTAGGGCCGGCGGCGGCGGAAACGCTAGGCTTGTACTTCTCCACATCCTCCTTGGTGATCTGACCACCACGTCCAGTGCCCTTGAGAGCCTTGATTGGAATACCCTTCTCCAGGGCCAATGCCTTGGCGGCAGGGCTGATGTTGGGCTCACGGTCAAGACTAGGCTGGAGCTTCTCAGTAGATGTCTCAGGCTCCTGAGCGGCGGGTGCAGGCTCGGGTGTCGAGGGGGCTGGTGCAGCCTCAGCCTTGGGCTCCTCCTTGCTCTCCTTGGCGGGAGCAGCTCCCTTATCACCACCGGCGTCTTCCAGAGTAAAGCTCTCAAAGGGGGCGACATCTGTTCCCTCCTCCACAAGAACGGCGATAGGCTGGTTTTGCGCATTAGCAATGCGGCTCAGTAGACCACGGAAAATTTTTCAGTCAATACATACAGTGCCGACAGCCACATCCTTCTCACCAGTCTCCTTCAGAACCTTGGCTAGGATACCCTCCTCTTGGAATTCAAAGTCCATCTGTGCCTTATCGGTCTCGATTTCCACGAGGACATCACCCGGCGACAAGGAGTCACCGGCCTTCTTCTGCCAAGCTCCAATGTTTCCTGCGGACATTGTGGGCGAGAGGGCAGGCATGCTGATGATGGTGTGAGGGGGGAAGGCTGTAGAGGCGCATGGTTAGGATCAAGTCTTCAATACGCGAACATGATGGAGACGAGGGAAAAAAAGAGACGACGTACACTTGGAGGCATAGAAACGGGAGAGGGCGGATAAAGCAGGCAATTGAGGTCTATGGATCAGGAAAATTTTATTAGTATCAATCTCAACACAGATTGACCATGAAATGTTCAAGGTGAACCATACTGGACAGCGTCCTTGAATCTGTGAATAACCTGAGGCCGCCTCACGCAGAGGCCGCCTTTTGACAACATGGCGCTGGGAATGCGCATTCGGACAGCGGAGGCAACCATGGTGCCAAATGCTGTAGCTATGATACAATTAAAAGGCCGCGGCACAAAAAAGAAGAGAAGATAAGATGGAGATGGTGCCGGAGGATGAGTCTGGCAAGTGGTAGGGCCTGTATCAGAGAGTTGGGGATGCAGCTCCTGGAACTTTTCTGTTGAGCTTCCGGTGAGCGATCGGAATAGTTCTCGCCGGATTTCTCCAGAGCGGCCGTCCCCGAGTTACGTAAGCCCAGCGCCGCATCTCTGGCACGCGGCGGTCACCGTATATTTGTCGGTCTGCGGGAGAAAGACACGCAGCCGCATCAGCTCCAGGACCCATCCAATAGCGCGATACTCCGGCACTCGGCTTCTATCTCCTTTCGTCATTTTTTCCTTAATCCGATTCTACGTTCCATGTGTATTTTTGGTTTCAGTTATTGAATGCTCCGCTCGGAGTTTCGCATAAATGGCGGATGTTGAGAATGGCTCTTCGCAGGAGCCCAATCGGACATCTGTGGTACTACCGCAGGGAGACAACAAAGAGAATACTGTCGATACCTCAACATCTGCTGAGACTGAAGATGGTGTCGAGGGAAACACCAAGCCTTCTCTTCCTCTCGAATCACAGAGGCAGAAAATTGACATAGAGGAAGTTACAGACTCCAGTTCACCGCAGATCAAAGTAGATTCCACTGAAGTAACAGAGACCGCGGACAACCCACCGAGTTCTCCGAACGACGCCGCTGACGCTGAAGGTCCCGAGAAGCACGGCTCCCCTCAGCCGGAATCAAAAGCAGACGATGTCGCTAGTTTGGGAAACGATCAGGCGGAGACTCCTCCAGGAGACTCTGCGGGCGACAAGCAGGATGGCGGCCATATACCCCAGTTTGAGCTTACACCAGATACCCGACTGCGCTCGGACTCAAGATCAACGACTGCTACGTATGCCACTCAGCGCTCCGTGACTGTCAGCTCTGCAGTGTTCATAGTCAACGCTCTCGAGACAATTGGGGCGTCCAAGGAAGCCAAGAAGAGCAAAGAACTGGATGATGCTGTAAAGAGCGCGTTGGCGAACGTCAAGCAATCAGACCGTCAGCCGATCGATCCCGAGCTTATATTTCGCCCTCTTCAGCTTGCGACAAAGAGCTTCAGCATCCCCTTGCAAGTCACAGCGCTCGACTGTATCGGGAAGCTCATAACTTACTCTTACTTTGCCTTTCCATCATCTCAGGATCGCAAGGGCTCGGAAACCGAGGCCACGCCAGAACAGACTCCTCTCATCGAACAGGCAATCGATGCCATCTGTGACTGTTTCGAGAACGAAGCCACTCCCCTTGAGATACAGCAACAAATTATCAAGTCACTTCTTGCGGCAGTTCTGAACGATAAGATTGTGGTACACGGAGCTGGTCTCCTAAAGGCTGTCCGCCAGATATACAACATCTTCATCTACTCCAAGTCTAATCAAAACCAACAGATTGCCCAAGGGTCATTGACACAGATGGTCAGCACAGTGTTCGACAGGGTTCGTGTGAGACTTGAGCTGAAAGAATTACGTTTGCGTCAAGGGGAAAAGGGACTGGAGAATACACCTGACGCTGCGACAGCTGAAACGGTTGAGGTGCCCCTGTCAACCGATCAGGATCAGGCATCCGATGCAGCCTCTGTTGTAGCACCCGATCAACCCGTCGCGAAGGAGCCTGGAGAAAAGCTCACTCTGCAAAGTTTCGAGTCAGGCAAAGATGTCACATCGGTCGCGGATAACGCGCCCACAATGGTCACCCGCGCCAAGCTTGGCCAAAAAAGGACGCAGTCATTGTCTAGCACATCCGGGGAAGACAGGGAAGACGGCGACGGAGCTACCGACGATGATGAGGACGAGATCTACATCAAAGACGCTTTCCTGGTATTTCGAGCTCTATGCAAATTGAGCCATAAAATCCTCAGCCACGAACAGCAACAAGATATCAAATCTCAGAATATGAGATCCAAGTTGTTGTCCTTGCACCTCGTTCATTACCTCATCAACAACCACGTCGCGGTCTTCACCTCCCCGCTCCTAACCATCAGGAATAGCTCAAACAGTTCCGATGCTATGACGCTTCTTCAAGCTGTTCGGCCCCATCTGTGCCTCAGTCTGAGTCGAAACGGGTCGAGCTCAGTGCCCAGGGTCTTCGAGGTTTGCTGCGAAATCTTCTGGCTCATGTTGAAGCATATGAGAGTGATGATGAAGGTTTGTTCATGTGCTTATCCTCTTTGTCTGACTGGTTCTAACTTCTCACAGAAAGAGCTTGAGGTCTTCTTGAAAGAGATATACCTGGCTATTCTCGAAAAACGGAACTCGCCTGCTTTTCAGAAGCAGTACTTTATGGAACTTGTGGAACGACTGGCCGATGATCCTCGTGCATTGGTGGAGTTATATCTAAATTATGACTGTGATCGCACTGCGCTGGAGAATATCTTTCAAAAGTACGTTTGTATCCCCTCATGTTTCATTCTCTTTGGGGCAGTATTGATTGTTTTGGCAGCATCATTGAACAAGTTTCACGATACTCGAGCGTACCTGTTGCAGTTTCCGCAGTCCAACAGCAGCATTTTCAAGAACACCATGTCAAGGTATCAACAGTGGGCGCAGATTGGCATCAAAGCGGGACTCTACCTCCGACACTCACGACAGCGCACATAGCCAGTCTTCAGCAACCAACTTCCCAAAACGTGCCATCTGAGTATATCCTGAAGAACCAGTCGCTGGAATGTTTAGTTGAGATCCTACAGTCACTTGATAACTGGGCCTCTCAGCGAATCGATGACCCAGCCAATGGGGTTACAAATCTGTTGTCCCAGAAATCAATCGATAATTCCAGAGAGTCGATAGACACCAACGCTGCGACCTTTTTATCGTCTCCAAGGATCGAGGGTACCGATGGCAGTACTGGTCGGTCGACACCCGTGGCAGAGGACGATCCAACCCAGATCGAGAAAGTCAAGCAGAGGAAAACTGCGCTGATGAATGCAATTCAGCAATTCAACTTTAAGGCCAAGCGGGGGATCAAACTTTTCATACAAGAGGGCTTTATACGTTCGAACTCGCCCGAGGACATTGCAAGTTTCCTGTTTCGCAATGATCGACTGGATAAGGCCATGATAGGGGAATATCTAGGTGAAGGTGATGCCGAGAACATTGCCATTATGCATGCATTTGTGGACCAAATGGACTTTTCTAAGCGACGCTTTGTGGATGCACTCCGTCAATTCCTGCAACACTTTCGATTGCCTGGGGAGGCCCAGAAAATAGATCGTTTCATGCTCAAGTTTGCCGAGCGCTACGTGACTCAGAACCCGAATGCTTTCGCCAATGCAGACACTGCGTACGTGTTGGCTTACTCGGTCATTATGCTCAATACAGATCAACATAGCGCTAAGATTAAGGGCCGCATGACTAAAGAGGACTTCATCAAGAACAATCGGGGCATCAACGATAACCAAGACTTGCCCGATGAGTATCTGGGGTCCATATTTGATGAGATCGCCAGCAACGAGATTGTGCTCGACACTGAACGAGAGCACGCTGCAAATCTGGGCATCCCCACGTCTACCACCACAGGCGGCTTAGCTTCCCGGGCAGGGCAGGTCTTCGCAACCGTAGGAAGGGACATCCAAGGCGAAAAGTATGCCCAAGCATCTGAAGAAATGGCCAATAAGACGGAGCAGCTCTATCGAAGTTTGATTAGGGCGCAGCGGAAGACGGCCGTTAGAGAGGCCCTCTCACGCTACATCCCCGCGACTTCGGTACGGCATGTTGGATCTATGTTCAACGTGACTTGGATGTCGTTCCTTTCTGGGTTGTCTGCTCCCATGCAAGACACACAGAATCTTGAAACCATTAAGCTCTGCATGGAAGGAATGAAACTGGCGATACGTATCAGTTGCGCTTTTGATCTGGAGACTCCCCGGGTCGCATTCGTAACGGGACTTGCCAAATTCACAAATCTGGGCAATGTCAGGGAGATGGTACCAAAGAATGTTGAGGCTTTGAAGGCGCTGCTCGACGTGGCACTCACCGAAGGGAACAACCTGAAGAGTTCCTGGAGAGAAGTCCTCACCTGTGTCAGCCAGCTCGACCGACTTCAACTTCTCACCGATGGCGTTGATGAAGGTTCATTGCCCGATCCATCACGCGCCCGTATTGTACCACAAACTCCATCTGATGGATCCCGCAGATCTATGCAGGCATCAAGACGTCCTCCCCGTCCGCGGTCAGTAAACGGACCTACAGCTTTCCGTTCTGAGGTTGCTATGGAAAGTCGATCCGCAGAAATGATACGAGGAGTTGACCGCATCTTCACAAATACCGCAAATCTCACTCATGAGGCTATCATTGACTTTGTTCGCGCTTTAAGCGAAGTGAGTTGGCAGGAGATTCAATCTTCAGGTCAGACAGAGTCCCCTCGAACATACAGCTTGCAGAAGCTTGTTGAAATCAGCTATTACAACATGACCAGAGTCAGGATAGAGTGGTCGAAGATCTGGGAAGTCCTCGGACAACACTTCAATCAGGTTGGATGCCACACTAACACCACAGTGGTGTTCTTTGCACTGGATTCCCTTCGGCAGCTTTCGATGCGCTTTCTGGAGATTGAAGAGCTTCCTGGTTTCAAATTTCAAAAGGACTTTCTCAAGCCGTTCGAGCATGTGATGGCCAATAGTAATGCTGTTACTGTGAAGGATATGATCCTTCGATGCCTGATACAGATGATCCAAGCACGTGGAGATAACATCCGCTCAGGCTGGAAAACAATGTTCGGCGTCTTCACAGTCGCTGCCCGAGAGCCATACGGTAAGCGAGTGTCTTATCGCGTAAAATTCAATTGATGGGGATGCTAATATCTAGAAGAGGGCATTGTCAACATGGCGTTCGAACACGTCACACAAATCTACAACACGCGGTTCGGTGTAGTCATTACACAGGGAGCGTTCCCTGACCTAATCGTTTGCCTCACGGAGTTTTCCAAGAACATGAGATTCCAGAAGAAGTCTTTGCAAGCGATCGAGACCTTGAAGTCAACTGTCACGAAGATGCTCAGGACACCGGAGTGTCCTCTATCACACCGTGGAGCTACATCGGAAGGCGTTCAGGACGACGGAACAAACCTGGCCAAACAATTATCACGGCAGTCTCAAGAAGAGCAGTTCTGGTATCCTATCTTGATTGCCTTCCAGGATGTATTAATGACGGGTGATGACCTTGAGGTTCGATCAAGGTAAGTTCCAAGTTCTGACTTTTGCCCCAGGAACGTTGCTGATCAGGAATCCAGAGCATTGACTTATCTTTTCGACACACTGATCCGCTATGGAGGCGACTTCCCTCAAGAATTTTGGGATGTCTTGTGGAGACAGCTTCTCTATCCGATTTTCGTCGTCCTTCACTCCAAATCGGAGATGTCCAAGGTGCCAAACCATGAAGAACTCTCCGTATGGCTGTCAACAACAATGATACAAGCATTGAGGAATATGATTACACTTTTCACGCATTATTTCGATGCGCTGGAATATATGTTGAGTCGTATACTCGAGCTTCTTACACTATGCATCTGCCAAGAAAACGACACAATTGCGCGGATCGGTAGCAATTGCTTGCAACAACTGATTCTGCAAAATGTTGCAAAGTTCAAGCAGGAACACTGGACCAAGGTTGTAGGTGCTTTCGTGGAGCTTTTCAGCAGGACCACGGCCTACGAGCTATTCACTGCCGCCGCCTCGATGTCTTCGAAGCCAGCTTCGATCAAGAACGGGAACGGGGAGGCATCCAACGAGGATGACTTGCACAAGCGGGAGCAAGAGACTGCCGAGTCAACGCCTGTCCGGGAAACTCCATCGGACGCCCCAAGGATGAATGGGTCGCAGCCTGTGACTTCTGAGCACGAGGAGGGCGACATGCCTGCCGCGTCGACCCCCGAGTTAGAAGATTACCGCCCGCAGGCCGAAACCCAACAACAACCCGCTGCCGTGACCGTTGCGCGGCGCCGATTCTTCAATCGTATCATAACAAACTGTGTGCTTCAGCTACTTATGATTGAGACTGTCCACGAACTGTTTTCGAACGACAAGGTCTATGCTGAGATCCCAAGCCACGAACTTCTCCGTTTAATGGGGCTGCTCAAGAAAAGCTATCAGTTCGCGAAAAAGTTCAACGAGGACAAAGAGCTTCGAATGCAGCTCTGGCGCCAAGGCTTTATGAAGCAACCGCCCAACCTGCTTAAACAGGAAAGTGGTAGTGCTGCTACATATGTTCACATCCTTTTCCGCATGTACCACGATGAACGAGAAGAACGAAAGAGCAGCCGCGGGGAAACTGAGGCTGCGCTTATTCCGTAAGTATAACAGGCTTCCTCGTTACCAACCACTTCTAACAAATAATCTTGTCCAGTCTCTGCGCCGATATTATCCGAAGCTTCGTCCGACTCGATGAAGATTCTCAGCACCGAAACATAGTGGCCTGGCGCCCTGTGGTTGTAGATGTCATCGAGGGCTACACCAACTTCCCCTCTGAAGGTTTCGATAAACATGTCGAGACTTTCTACCCATTAGCGGTGGATCTATTGGGCCGCGACCTGAACCCCGAAATTCGCCTCGCTCTTCAGGCTCTGCTTCGAAGAATCGGAGAGGCAAGACTGGGTATCGCTGCTGTGCAGACACCCATCAGCCCCAGGAGCTCTATCTCGCAGCACCACTCCCGCAGGTATAGTCGGGATCACTAGGCTGGGGTCGGAGTTCTGATGGAACGGTGGTTGGTTGGTTGGGCTTTCTTTTGTTTCTTTTGGATATCCTTGCCTACTCTATAAGAGGCTTTTTACTTGAATCGCCCACTCTGGAGGAGTGTTGAATGTAGACTTAACAAATATATTGCATTGTCATTCTCAAACTTATAAGTTATAAGAATACGGACCGTCTACCTATTCTATCAATACCAAATTACCGAACTTGAGCTCGGCGAAGCAGACTTGTCAGTCTGATACTATGCAGCAGTAAAGCGGCATCAAGCCGGATACCTCAATTGCATCACTCTTGGCAAGCAGATATTGGCGGCACAGTCGAGGCTGCCCCGGTTGAACTAGCAAATTGCACAAGTATCAACTAGCTGGAATGGACTTCATTATAAGACGGAATCTTGCCAGATTCGAAGTAAGTAAGAAGACTATCCATATCCTGTTCGTTCATTTTGACGAGCTCTTCGAGACTCCATGACTCGCAAACCCCGGACATCCTTTAATAAGTCAGCAGGCAGCTTAATCCGAAAGGTAAGGTTCAACAGTACCACTTCATTCTCTTGGGCCCCTCCTCTGGCCTGGCAGCGACCTCGCGTAGTTTCTTGCGTAGTTTGCCCACGTTTTCTATGGCTGCACCCATGTTGTCGGGCAATGATGCTGCAATTTTTTTCCGAATGATACTTGCAAGTTTAGGTCCATTCCCATTCGTGCTCACCATCACTTGCAGTGGTCCATTACGGTACATGCTGCCAAAGTAGAAGTCGCACTCTGCGGGCACATCGGCTATGTTGGCAGGTATTCGCTTCTCCTTACACAGTTTCCAGACGCGAGACGAGGCGTCAGGGTCATCAATGGCGCAAAGGACCATATCTGCTCCTTCTAGATCTTCCGGCTCAAATGTGCGATCGACATGCGTGACTTGGCCCTCGGATACACGGAAAGCGACTTCGTCATTAAGACCTGAGCGAGGACAGACGACTGTTACTTTGGCGTCGGCGTTCAGGGCGTGGAGAATGCGGCCTGCAGCTACCTGTTGAATGACCCCGTTAGCGCTGTTGTTATATATATACATATATCCGTTTTTCTGCGGCGGGACATGCATAAGACTATACCTCACCACCACCGACCACTAGGACATGTTTATCTTTGACTTGCCAAGCGACTATCATGGAGCCCCCTCCCTGGACTGGAGGGTACTTGTGCGACATTTTAGTATAGGATCGATATGTCGAAGCTTACTGAGATGTTATCTGTAGCGGGGAGTCATATAAAGTGCCGATATCTATCGATTGGCGGGGGCCCTGGTACGGGGAGCTAGAGACACCCAAGACGACCTGGCCTATTTTTACCTTTTCCCTTCGCCAACTTTTTTTCCTCTTCCCTCGGCCATTTGAAATGCCCTCCACAACCCTTACCTCCTTTTTACTCTTCGCTCCCTTCTCCCCATTGTCCATGCCTTCAATTCGCAGCACATAATAGTCGCAATGCGGGGAGTACAAATTTTCTCTGGGACATCCCACCCTGTCCTTGCTGAGACCATCTGCGAGCGCCTAGGCACACTCCCCGCTCGGGCAGTGCTCGGAAAATTTGCAAATGGCGAGACAAGAGTGGATATAGGAGTCTCCGTGCGGAACCAAGATGTATACATTGTCCAGAGCGGCAGTCAGAAGATCAATGACAGTGTCATGGAGCTCTTGATCATGATCTCTGCTTGCAAGGGTGGTTCCGCAAAGTCGATTACAGGTGAGCTTGTCGTCGAATGACTTGATAGCCTTGCGCAATAACTAACATGATTCTGAACTAGCGGTCTTGCCGTATGCTGCCCGTCTAACGTGAATCTACGCATTATGCTGACATGGACGAGGTACTTTCCTTACTCCCGCCAGTCGAAAAAGAAGAGCCATAGGGGAGCCATCACCGCTCGGATGCTGGCGAACTTGCTTTCGGTCGCTGGAGTAGATCACGTCATTACTCTTGACCTGCATGTGAGTGATTATTGGTCGAACGGACGAATAGACGTCTGACTGAATGACAGGCGTCACAAATGCAAGGATTCTTCGGCAAGCCCGTGGATAACCTCTTTGCCGAGCCTTTCATCGCCCGTTGGATTCGGATGAACGTCCCTGGCTGGAAGGAGGCAGTCGTTGTTAGCAAAAACGCTGGAGGTACCAAGCGTGTAACATCGCTAGCGGACACCCTGAAGCTCAATTTTGGCATTGTCACAACCGACAGACGCCGTCCGAAAGTCCCTATGTCCATGACGGATAGTACTGTTTTTTTCGACTCTATCAATGATAGCATTCCCAGAGAGCCGAAACCTTTTGTCCTACACCTGCGCAAGAATTCACACGGCGGTGAATCAAGCGAACACAACAACGCCGAGCCCGAGGAACTACTGCGTCCGGAGACACCACCCGCTGCTCGTCGCCCGTCAGAGTTGGAAGCAGCTCACGAGTACACAGACGTGCGTGTGCGTGATGTGATCACTGGCCGTCTTGTACAGGGCCATATTGTGGATGATGATTTCCCGTCGGGTGGTCCCACCTCGGTACCTGCCTCTGGACTTACAACCCCAGGTCAGCCTTCCAGCCAGGATCAACCCGAGTCCGTGCCAGACGCGATGGTCAACTCGTTCATCTCGACCACATCTTCTCTACCGGGAGATCATGCTCTTGGCGGGTCATTCGATGCCGCTGAATCTTCGGATGAGGAAGAGAGCAACGGGCGAAGTGTCGAGCAAGAGAAGACCATCACCCTGGTCGGCGATGTTCGAGACAGGACTGTTTTCCTTGTCGACGATATGATCGACAAGAGTGGCTCGTGGATTGCTGCCGCAGAAACGGTGGTCAAACGGGGCGGGGCTAAGCAGGTCTACTGCATTGCTACACATGGACTTTTTGGCGGCGATTCCCTCGAGCAGATGGAAGCGTGTGACGCGATTGACTATATTGTCGTCACGAATACTTTCCCAATAACTCCCCAAAAGATGAGAAAGTCGAAGAAATTGGTTATTATCGACATTTCGAGTCTTGTTGCGGAGAGTATCCGACGCCACCATTACGGTGAAAGGTTTGTAGTGCTGCGGTCTCATTCTTGACTGAGTCAGTTTGCTAATATCCAATTCAGTGTGTCGGCACTTTTCCACCTCAATGACTAATTAGCATGGCGAAGTCTATCCTTGTGGTATTCGAGATTATTTCGCACACTATCAATGAATGAACGTACAACAATTCTGAAATGTTGGTAAGAATGATGCATCAACAGTAACGACAGCATTACGACTCTCTTCTTTCTTCTTGTATTGATGACACTGTTTTTTTATACTCACGAGGAGGTCAGGGGTATTTGAGTGTATCTGCATTGTGATACATATGTTGGACTTTTTCTCTCCCGATGTCAAGGGGTGCTAGTGATACTGACTGGCGTCAGAACAAAGGCGCTCAGGTTTGCCGTCTGAATAGGCTAAGATTGAGCATTTTTGCTCACCTATAGTGCAATATCATCGCCAATGTCGCATTGGTAAGACAGGTGCATTCCTCGATTTCAGTGACAATACGAATTCTGAAGCTAGCTTCACCGGACTCTGTCCAACCACACCAACGGTGCAGTCCACTTTGGGTACTGCAGGAGCATCTTGTCTTTACAAAGATTGTTCTTAACGGAGCGTTGGAAGAGCAAACATTTAGCCTTGTTAGTTCTCTGTCTTCTTCGTGTCATTCGGCATGGAGGGACGGATGGGCTGCAGGGCTATACTGAGGAACGAAGGCATCAACTTCTGAGTCTCACGCGGGCTCTGGTCCTTTTGGACCGGTGGAGTTGATGCAAGAGAACATCTCGAACATTCTCATATTATGTGTCACAATGAGCTAGTAGTAAAATATGATGTGTGAATTGCTTGTTAGTAAGTCGAGGATTGTCTCGTGCTGCCCCTGAAATGGTTCTTCCCGAGGATCCTTGTAAGGTCTACAGTGCAAAGAGGTAGCCCATTGTCTTTTCATATATCTCTACTGCGACTACGCCGTATATTCTCCGTCTCCATCCAAGTCACCCTCGTTTGATTGCAAGGAAACCCGCAGAATTAGCTGATACGTAGCTCGTAGTAGTCAGTTGCAGAGCGAGTCCGATGATGTCTCGCAAATATTGACATAGAATCCCACCTGATGTTTTGTTTATAAACAAGGGTACTATCAAGTGACATTTGTGGCGGTGTGCGCATACCCGTTCACTCGGCACTTCGCTGCAGCGAGGCGCTTCTATCGACACAATCCTCTCAAGAGAAGGTTCGATCTACCTCATAATTCATGAACTACATCACGTCACGGTCGGCAATGACATCGATGTGATGAGATGGGATATGTAATACGATTTGAGTACCCCACGGCGTAGTGACTAAATAGGCACTCTGTAGCCTGACCCGAATTCCAGGACAGATCTTGCTCTCGGGCCTCGCCCTGCATACTTCTAATAGATAGTCGGCGGGACTTACAGCGTAGCATATCCCTTGGTTCGCCGTAGGGGTCCAGGGGATATTTGTCGGTGCGGTGGACTACTATGAGGATACTGATTTCAAATCCAACCACTTGCTGCCATATGCATTATCGCGAGGGAAGAACGAATTGACTATCTAGGTCTTCAATCTGAGCTGCGGTTGGAGCGGGGCATTGATATTCAGCTGCAGCCTCAGCTCGTCGAGCATGCGATCTTTCCAAGGCGCCGGGACGCGCAGACGATAATGTCACAAAAGTACATTTCCAATTAGTACGTAGTGTGTTTCAATGGGGTCCCAAGTACGGATTTCCCTATGGAGTCATGGACTCATGGCCGCGGCGAGACCCACCCTCTGTACGAAATGTGATATGTCGACTTGTCAAGACACCGCGCAAAGTACCGTGCGTCATCGGAGACGGAAAGGACTTTTAATTTCGAGTCCAGGGCTGTGGGAACCGGCAAAATGAGCAAGGGGTGAGACTGAGAAGTGAGGGCTGAGCAGTCTCGGATTAGTTCGAGTTGGCTAAGACTTAGTACACCGGGGAAGTACATCCGGTAGATCAAGGCTAAAGTTCTCCTGTGGATTTTTGGACTTTTCAGGGAATCCAGGCTTTTTGCTTTCCAGCTCGTATTCAGGACTCGGTGGACAATGACATGGATTGCTCGGTTTGTTATCGCCTGTGAGGACCAATCAGTTGATCAGGTATTTCATCATACCTTTTTGCACATTCCAGAGGTGAATACGTACTATGCTTGTCTTGAGTCTGGTTGGTGTCATTAAGTCGACAATCAACAATCCAATAGCTGCTATGAATTGACGATTGACAGGGAACTGGCATCCGCCATGTCTCTAGGATACCTGTCCTCTTCCCTTAGCGCTCCTTCGGACTCAGTCTCGACTCTCGAGTCATCACCTTACAGTCCAATATTCGGAGTAGTCCGCGTGCTGTCAATTCGAATTTGTAAACCTCCACCATGGAGCATTGGGTTTAGGTCCACTGCAGGCGTCCCGAATTGGTGAGGAGTCCGGGCGAGAACCACTAAGAAGGCACGAACTTTTTTTTCTTAAAAGAGTTCCCCTCGCTCGTTTTCAGTTCCCGGAAGCCGCCCGATTTCAGTCCAGAACTGACCACTTACCTATTCGGTGTAAGTCTTGAGTTAGGTGGAAAGTCAGTGCCCGTTATGTGTTACATACACTGGAAAGCCATAAATATGGGCGACCGTCTGGGATTCTTTCCAAAGAGCAAACTAGCATGAATCGATTGGGTTATCGCAGTGTACATCATAGCAAATCAACTTGACCATTGATAAACTATGGACAGCCTGGAGCTGAGGGCTGAAGCATCATGGCAGAGCAGCCACTCTAGCTGTGAACCCGGTTGGTGGGACTGCGGATCTCCCTGCACAAGCACGCCACGATCAGCCGAGATCTGTCAGAGTATAGGAATTACTTCTTCCACGGTCATTGGTCTCAAGTAGTTAGTAGTACAATGTAAGTACGAAGTAGGGAACTCTCTGGAATGATAATTTATGCTAATTTGGCAGAGTACGTACAGTAGCACCTAGCATATGTAGGTAGGACGACGCCAAATTCATTAGCGGGTGGCATGAACTGTATGCGTGTTTGTTTTCCGGTCCTCTCTCAGTTCCCTGCTTTGGGTGGATCAGATGGATAACTACTGTACGGCCAGTACCATGCCAACTAAGGCAGTATGCTACTAAGGTACTTGAGTAGTCCGTTGGTTGAGATTAATCATTAGGCACTCACTACTAGTCGTAAACTTCAAAAAGTAAAAAAATAAAAATAAAAATAAAAACCGAGCTCTGGCCTAGCTAGGTCCTGGTAAAGCTTCAAAAAAAAGAACAAGTACATAGCCTCACAAGGCATTATGATGGAATTGGTGAAACAGTGTCCATAAACCTTGTCCTTGTTCTTGTTTTGATCTTCGTTATTGTCCTACCGTGACTGGGATTCGGTTTCACAACAGTCTTCATGATCAAGTTTGTTTAGTCCATTTGAGATTTCTATTTTGAAAAGATATCCAGTTCATCGATTCGATGTTGCGCCACACTAGAGAGGTATGAAAATAATGAAATCATTTGTGATGTTTTGACAGTACCCTGTGCATACCATTTGATGATATATCTACCGTCGGAGAATTATGGGCTGGAAATTTGTCAACATCCAGAATTCCAGGCCCTTGGATCTGGGATTGATCCTCACGATCCTGGTTGACGTCTAGATGACCGCACAGCCGCAGAAAAAGTAAAGGGATGTCGGATGCACATTTCCTCCAAATAATAGATAATATGGAAGAATGATGATGTATTATTACAGACCGTACTTCTCTCCTGCGTGGAAAAAAGTAACTGCACGTCTGATTGCTAGATCTTGAGATCGTCCATGCCAAGTCTCCAGCACCCATTTGGCTGGGAAAGTGGGAAGGGCTGTGCTTTTTCAACCTCCAATCAAAACACGGCGATCTCCCAATTGGCTCAGGGACAATCTTGATGGCTGTTTAGTACATTGCACGGAATAAAAACATATCAAATCAGGAAGAAAAGTCTATATGATGCCCGATTACCTAGTAGTTCCTAGTCACTGTTCGAGTACTCCTATTAGTCCTCGATACCTTAATATCTCTGTGGAGCGACCCGTCTCTCTTGGTCTATTGAATTCGTCTCCAATAATGCTGAGAAAAATAGAACAAACCATTAATTGGATACTCCGTATCCAATAATTTGTTAAACATCTTATTGTTAAAGTTAAGATTGCGACTATTGACGCGGTTCCCATCTCCCCGGGACTGCTGGTACGGTCCATGGCCCACTCGAGACTATACATCACTTTTCCATGCATCTTCCCTGCCCTTCCTGTTTCTCTTCTGTTTCTTCTGCTTCAGATCTCATCTCTGTCTCATGTTGTGTGGCCCATCGTGCAGTTTGAGCTGTACTTTTTGCCCCCTTCCCTTTATTCGTCTGGGATCCTGAGGCTTCATTCCACCATTGTCCATTCCTCTTCCTAAAAGAATCCAGGCTCTATTCTCCACAGACATAATTGTCAGTTCCGCAATTATCGGCTGCATGCATTGTGTGAAATATCATCATTTTCCTCGAAAAGCAGCTTCCCTACAGCCACAGTCAAGCCATCTGCCGGTGTGAGGCCTGGACCTTGTAGTTTGAACGTCGTACAATTGTATTCTTCCAATCTCCTGAGGAAAGACAGACAATATGCCTTTTTGAGTGATGTGTTCATCGGATCATCGCTGGCATACGCTTCTATCATCTGGTTGAGATTGAAAGGTCGCCTATATATACTATGGAGTCGCCGTCCACAGCTTCAACTGAACTCTTCATTGCACGCGACACTCACATCCTCATTTCATCTCTTTTACCAATCCAAAACATTACTTGATCCTTACACACCGACACATCTTTTGTCTTGGTTCCTTCAGATTCCATCCCTACCGTCTTGTCCGGACCCTGGAGCATTGTTGCATACGCCCTTGCCTTATCTCGACTCTAGAGCCCGGGTATTGTTTCCCAACCATTCGGATAAAGAAGGAGCCATCGCCCTTACAACCTTGTCTATCGAGACCCAGAGATCTGGTTCGACCCGATAAGATTTTCTTGTTTGATACTTCCGTGGTAAACTCAATAAGTACGTGGCGGCGCCAAGCACGACTACCATACCTCTGCTCACATACTAACTTCTGACAGTCGCCAACATGGCCAACCAGTGCTCGGGACATGTCTTCGCCATTGTGCAAGCTACCAATGGCAATATCCTCACCTGGCGCTGCTCAGATTGCAACTCCGGTCCGTTCGTGGCTATCTGGCGTTGCAAGATCTGTGGTCACTGTCGCTGCAACGCATGCCATACCGCCAAAGCCTAGGTACTAGGTATATCTACGGCGTCGTACTGCACCGGTAGGCTCTCATTCCAGCAAGCCAGTGTCTGTGGAATTTGCTGATAGGATCCTTTAGACCACCGTCGCGGCACCTCAAGCAGCCAACTTGCACGAGACTCGGTTGCTTCCCCGTCCAAGACCACAATTCTCAAAGCTCTCAGTCTATCAGTTGGCTATTCTTTGCGGATGGTTGCTTCTTGTCCGATTGGCTCGCAATTATGATACTCACCCTGCGCGAGGCTCTTCTGACCGATCCTACTCGATATCATGAAAGCACACAATCACGATCAAACTCCTCAGCTCTCTCCTTAACAACGTCCGCAAACTCACGACCCGATCCTGCTGTTTTCATGAACTGTTCTTTCAGCACTGCATCCTTACTCGGTGTCAGGTCCAGCGGCAAAAGCTTCGGTCTTTGCCATTTTGCTTTTGATTCCTCTAGTTGGGCGGTTCTCTGCATGGCATACAGGTAGCTGTCATCTACGTTTGTTTTCCTTCTCCTTCCAGTTTGTTTTCTTGGCCAGACTGCTCTTACTTGTTTTATTTCCCTGGTAATGTTAAATAGAGGACATACATAGACTCAGGCAACTGACGCGGCAACGCAACTCGTTACACCCACTTCAGACTCTCGTGCTTGGAAATGGTCACTATCATACACACCTTAATCCAACAAATCATCATCGTAAGTCCCTTGAGACCAGGTCTCGTGCCCCTTGACTTAGTCTGATGTGGTAGTCTGTACCACTCGAAATGCATCGTGTACAACCCAGCCAAGCTTCAACAAGGACAAGGGTCCAAGGCGTGATCGCCGTTGGTTGGATTCTAAATCCATTACACCCTTGTGCTAAATAATATTACATGGGAATCTGGCTTCCAGTACTTGGCTCATTCATTCGTCATCTACTTGTAGTAAACATAGAAGTTCTGCCTCCTTTACGGGACAAGTCGTTGTTTCTCACTCTCTAGGCAGCTTATTTAACTTGCGAACGACTTCCGAAATGTTGGCCTTGGCCTCTCTGAACGCGGCGTCCGCCGTTGCCAACTCCTCTTGGTAGCCAGCGATGACGTGCTCAAGCTCTCTTTTTCTTTCGAGGTGTTGGTCCTTTATGTCTTTTAATGCCCCAAGATCAAGCCACCGCGAAAGAAGAGGGCCACCAAGGAATCGCAGAGAAAGGTTGCCGAAAAGTACGATGTGTCTGGTATTCATCTCGGCGGGGAGTCGGACCAAAGCGTCCCCGTCTGGGACACCTGTGATCTCGTTCGCAGAAAGATCATGGTACACGAGATGTACTTGATGAGGTTCGGCATCATCTTCAATTTATTTTTATTAAAAAAAAAAAAAAAATAATAAAATGAAAGAATAAAGAATAAAACAACTTTTTTGTTGGAAAAAAAAAAAAAAAAGGGGACCTCAGGCTAATCTTACTCTTCAAAGAAGAGCCGCCTTTCCGCGGACACTGCCTTCACCCGCTTGTCTGCCTCAGCCCATGCCCTCTCTGCCTCCTCCCAGGCTGCTTTAGCCTCTTTGCGCTTCTGGTGCGCCGCCTCCCGCTCCTGCTTTGCTACGGCCCACTCACCGTCCAACTCAATGACACGGAGTTTCTGGGCCTCAGTCAAGTTGGACCGTAGCTGGGGCACCCCCAGCTCTCTCTGGAACCTCTCTGGTAACAATGAGACATCATGCCCCATTTCTTCGATCTAGTAGATAATATCAATTAGTTACTGATATATACATGTGTGCATAGATAATACAGACTTACCACGCGAGTGATCCTGGCGCGCTCATCGCGCCTGATGTTATCATCATGCTTCCTCTTCTTCAATTGCTAAAGTAATATTAGTCACATGACCTGTATAGTATATTCGGAATACCCACAGGACCAGAGAGAGCTGGGGGGCCAGCAGGAACGGGAGGAGGCGGCGGCGGCGGCGGCAGTAGCCCCTGTTGCCGTTGCTGTTGCCGTTGCTGTTGCCGTTGCTGTTGCCGTTGCTGTTGCCGTTGCTGTTGCCGTTGCTGTTGCCCCGGCTGCTGCCGCCGCCGCTGTTGTTGCTGGTGGTGGTGGTGGTGCTTCTAGTGTGTAATTCTGTTAGCAAGTCATCGACTTAAATTGCATGCCTTGAGTGTCTTCACAAGTGACCTCATATGCTGTATCACAGCACCGAAACACATGGACTGATTGGTAATAGAAACTTGAAGACAAATAGAGCAATGCGCAGTAAAGCAAGATGACCAGACCAAATTGAAGACATTATATGTGAAAATGATGTAAATCACAGGTCAAAGTGAAGTAACATGAGATTCATATATTGAGTTGATCATCATAAGATCAAATGAAAAAGTTTCGAGTGGTATTCAGGGAAGGAGAGGCTTACCTTTGGGCGGAATGGGAGGGCTCTGGGAGCTACGGTTCTATTAGCTACTAGGCCTGATTTATCTCATATATCTCAACGGAGGAACTTACGCGCCATGCTGCTGATGATGATGTTGATTATGATGATGATGATGATGCTGTTGCTGTTGCTGCTGCTGCTGCTGCCGCCGCCGTCGCAGCTGCTGGTATTGGGGGCGTTTCTAGAGTGTCATGTCATGCTGTTAGCAAGTCATCGATCTAACTTGCATGCCTTGAGTGTCTTCTCACAAACCTTGTCTTCTTCCTCAAACGTCATCTTCGCAGCGCGTAGTGCTTGGACATGTAAAGGAACTCCGCGGAGTATTAATTCGAAGAAAGCCAACCGATACTCACTCCAGCAGTCGCTGGGCCAGTGTGAGTTCGGCCCGCAGATTGGGGATCTCCAGTCATACCTGGATGTCCTCCGGCACAAGGACACCTCTCTCGTCCATCTAGATAATATTAGCCACTGATATTTTTATTAATGGATTATAAACTTACCCTGAGGCAAGAGGTCTTGGCGTTCCTTGCGCCTGATGGCATCTTCTCTCGGTCTTTTCTTGCTCGGCATCAAGATTAGGCCCATGTTCTTGGTAAGGCAGGGGGCGGCTGCCGCTGTTGGTGGTGCTTCTAGTGCCTCATAATTGTTAGCAAGTCTTCGACCAAAGTTGCATATGTGTTGAAACCCGAAGATCCATGGTATCGTAGCGAGAGTGAACAGGAGGCTCACCTATTTTGACCATACAAATCGGTCAAGAAAGGAAAAGTCATCGCGAGAGTCTCGCAGATGAACCTGCAAATCGACTCTAATCGAGTGAGGGCCCTCTGGCTCCAGGGATGTGAAGAAAGGAAGATGGAGAGCGGAGAATCATGGGAGAGACGATGATATTTGTCTCCAGCTGTCTCGGTTCGAAATGCCATTGAATGACTGGTTCAAGATCCTTACAGTGAATGAAGATTGTTGAAATTCAATATCTTCAGGTGCTACGTGTCATTGACCACAGTGAGCATTGCTGAGGATAGTGAATGTCATGCCCAGTTAGTGAATACAGTTCATTAGATCTGAGACATAGGGAGAGACACAAGGTGAGACATACTGACGAGCAAGCCAGAGTCAGTCATCTAGACTAAATAACTAAGGAAGTAGGCGTGTTCAATCCTAACTATCTCAATCTGAAAGAAATTTGGGATTAACTGCAGCACCACCTATGCATGATACTAGTGAATGTTGCAACATATTGGCTGAGACTCGAGTCCAAGAGCCAACCTGGATGGATTTCTTTATACTTATTACTATTACTTTGTTCCTACACATCGGAAATAACCCAGCATTGTTAGATGAGCAGTGGCGGGCCTGACGCCGCCTGATGTTATGTGATCATCCAGTAATGCCAACAGCCGGAGTCGCGATGTATTTGGTGGCTGAGGCTAACTTCTCTTCAAAGAACAGCTCATGGGGGCGACTAAACCACGCAATACTCCCCTGATTCCCGCTTCAAAGAGGACGCGCCGGCTATGTACATACCTGGCCGATGCACCAGAATTTGACAAGTCCGTTCGCCTGAAGGAAGAGGCCAAGGGAGCACTAGGCGCTGCGAAGATGACGTTTGAGGACGCAGACAAGGTACGTGAGAAGACACTCAAGGCATGCAAGTTAGGTCGATGAGTCGATGACTTGCTAACAGCATGACACACTAGAAACGCACCAATACCAACGGCAGCAACAGCTTCGCAAGAGTCACAAGCTCAAGGATACCTGAGGATGATACTTGGGTGGTTGTTGCATCAGCTAGGCGTGTTTAATCAGTTGGTTGATTATACGAACAACAGAGTCCTGTCGAATTTGCCATACCAGCGACTATCGGGGACTGGCTAGAGCGCCAGAGAATCACCCGCCTAGTAAGTCTATATTGTCTATGCACACATGTATATATCAGTAACTAATTGATATTATCTACTAGATTGAGGACATGGGCCACGATGTGGCATCATTGCTGGAGAGGTTCCAGAGAGAGGGCTGGGGGTGCCGAAGCTGCGGTCGAATTTGACCACCGCGCAGAAGCTCCGTGTCGTCGAGTTGGACGGAAAGTGGGCCGCAGCGAAGCTGGAGCGGGAGGAGGTGCACAAGAAGCGCAAGGCTGCCAGAGAGGCTGTCGAAGAGGACTTTCTATCTCTCCCATTTGCCGAAGATGATGGGCGCCAGGGCATCTATGCCAACTTTGCAAGTGGTGATCGTCGACGTATGGATGAGGAATATGATGTCTATGTGGGCTCATCTCGTCATCTAAAACAGCGCGTTGCGTGGCATCTGGGAGTAGCTGAAAAATTTTCAGTGACCAACTTGCCAGAAGAACACAAGAAGAGCTTCCATTATAGACAGATTTGTCGTGATGGCGTTCGGTCTGATTTTCGAAGGCTTGCAGCTTTTAATCATCCAATAGAGCCAGGATACTTACTACTGCTCGAGGGAATCTATATGATTCTTCAACACGTACCAGCACCCTGGCTACTGCTCTGCATTTGCCACGAGGTCTTCCTACAGTTTGACTGAAAAGATAGGAAAACATCTCGACATCCCATCTGTCCCGTGGCGTGGAATGAACGCAGCCTGGCCTTTGCGCCAGGGGTTCTTCAATGTCGGAGCACGGTCCGCATCACCGTGTTGCAATCCAGCATGTGATCGGATGACATACCCGGAAGCTTTGCGTCCAGAGGGGGCGCCAAAGTATAACCGCCTGTGTGGAGATCCTGGAAATCCTCTGGGGCCGTATCTCTTGTGGTATCTGTTTCAGATACAGGCTATGGCACCGGGGTGTCCTTCCGGATAAAGATGTTCTTGCAAAGTTCCAGGTACGTCTAGAGGCCAGAGCAGAGGCCGGTCCGGATGCAGCCTGTCATTGTTGTGGTAATTCCTGGGGTTCACGGGATTCTGCCGACAGTTCATACATGCGTATTCCAGAATTACGACGCCGTTGACGGACCTCCTAAAGACAAGAGGCCTTCGAAGAACTGAAGAACGCATTCGTGGACATGCCCATCCTTGCACACTTTGACCCTGAGAAAACCGCTGTTTCTCCTCCTGTGTCTCCCGCAGCCTCCGTGAGTCTTCCTTTCTTGTCTCTGGCGTGTCGCCGTCGTGTCTTCTGTGCTAACCAGGTAAGTCCTCTGACGATCCGATCACCTTGAACGCTCGCAGCTCGCGGCCGTCTTCGTGTTGTAGAGTCTGAGCCTTCCTCGGAGGAGGAGGAGGCCTCGGCGTTGGGGTCTCTGAACAGCCTTCCGCTCAGCACTATGTGTCGCGCCACGCCAGTCCGACTCCCGCTGCCAGTTCGGGCCAAGCCAGTCCTCCCGTCGCCGCCAGCCCGACTCCTGTCGGTTCGCCTCTCGCGGCCAGCCCGGGCCCGGCCAGCTCGCCACTGGCGGGCCCCCTGCGTTCCGACGGCTCCCTTGGCGTGCTGCCGCCCCTCGGGGCCCTTCCTCCCTTGTCCCCCGCTGCCGCCAGCGCCGAGCCCCTGCCCGCTGCTCTCCCCTGTCAGCGGTGCCTTATGGATGCCCTACACCAGGGCCGGGTCTGCTCCTGCGTGCGTGACGCCTCGTACGGTTTGAGTCCCAAGGGAATGAGCACTCCATGACATCGAGGAAGTGTGAGAGAGTCATCTATACTCGCAGGTGGCGTATGCATGCACTCATCCCAAAAAGCTTTTGTGTGAGGCTTGCTGGGTCTTTGTTGATAAGAATAAAAGGCTACGTACGCCAGAGGAGGTTATGCAATTTTTGCAGCTTTCTGATCTGAAAGCTACAAGAGCTGCAGGTGGAGAGATTCGGTGCGACAACTGTGGCGCTGTAGAGAACCCCTCAAAAAGAGGTCATATTGCAAACTCAGAGACTGGAAAGGTCCTCTGTTACCTCTGTGACAGCCTCGCCCGCAGTCGCAAGACGCGTGACAGCGGCCCCGTGCAGCGTTTCAAGACCAAGAAACAGCTGAAAGCAGATCGCGAGGCTGGGAGACCGATTGTCTGCAGTAACTGCGGAACTATCGAAGATCCCTCGGCGCCAAAGGCAAAGGTCTTCCTTGTGAATCAGAGAAGTGGCTGAGTTATGTGCACCAATTGTAGCAATGCTTATAGTAAAGCATTCTGCAAATCGCAAACGAAATAGATGAATGTACAAATTGAGATAATCTGGCACGAATCTATAGACATTTTGTTCTCATTGCATATAGCATGATGAGCAGATGTCCGTTGACGACACTTGGAACCCTGGCCGGACTTTGTACAGCTTCGATTCGATCTAGCGAACGATTGAAGCCGAACGAAAGCTACGTTAATTCATCTTTTAAACATCTATAATTGTACCAGCCATTCATATGAATCATGAACGACGAAATTCATATTATCATCATAAAGTCTATACGCGTAAAAAGGTCTGTAGCTGGGTACATAGCCAGCAAAGCGTCAAATGCAAACCCAGAGCTCTTCTCTTTTCCAGCAACTCGATTAGATGTTGTCCTCGTCCGAGAACACTTCTTCTCCACGCTTGCCTATAAAAGAAGTTAGTATATGCATTTTTAGGGGGTCTTTTCAACTCATGTAGCTGGTTTCATATCCGAAGAGACCACGATAGAAGCAAGAAAGTAAGATAGGAGATGGAATTGAAAGAGATCCGGAGAAAATGGATGAGATGCATTTCTCATTCCCTTGTGGCTGCGGCCGCTGTTAACAAGGATAAGGCCACGACGGAGGAGGTGGTCAAGTTCTTCTTTACTGGACAGGGCTTGATATCGACACAGCAGTCGGTTGGCAGTGACATATTTCCTTCTTATGTTGATTTCCCCTTCGCTTTACCATGTGCTGAGTATGTCATATGCCACCTCCTTTCCTGATCTGACAACAATCCAGCCAGTTGGATCATTCCGAAAGAAGCGACTGTGATCTGAATGTAATCAACATCTATGACTATCATTTGATAGTATCCTGCTTTTCGTATGATTATCAGATAAAACTGTTTGTATGAAGGAGCACAGAGCTTTTGTTACAGATATATGGTGGCGGTGACATCCACCTTGAGAAACAGACCACATAATTAATAATGGCCTAACAGTGTAAAGTGTCGAGGTTTGATTTATTAATAGGTGGCAGTAATATAAAGCATTGGCTCTTTGGATTGTGAACCCTGTGTTTGTGGATTTTCCTGTCCCGTTTCCCAGCTGCCTGTCATGTAGGTCAACTGCTTAGCCACAGTAGCCACAGTAGCCACAGTAGCCACAGCCTACTGGAAATACTCATCTTTGAAGGATCATGGGGCGGTGCATGAAATACAACACAATCTCAGAGTTGATTTCCCCTCTTATTGTGGCTCTTACATCCTAGATAACGCCCATGTCAGCTTTCGAGTGTTGGTAATATGATTGGTAATGACGGCTTAGCCGCTGCACCGCCTCGTAATCCACGTACTGACTGGGACGGAGCCCCTGAATTTCACACCGTTTCGCGCTGAGCCGTGGTTCCTTCCATCATTGTCAGACGGCCCCGCCATTGAGACTGAGATTGCGAACGCCAGTCCTTCGTACATAAGACCACCTTGCCTGCGCCTCGCCCTTTCATTTTTCTTATTGTGCACTTGCAAGATCTCATCCATCAAAGACAAATTACTCACTAGCTTACTCTCATCACAATGTCTGATCCATACAACAACCACTACAATCAATACGGTGCCCCGCAGCAAGGCCATGGCCAGCCCAGCGACGGATACTACGGAGGCCAACATAACTACAACTACCCTCCTCCACAAGGCCAGTACGGGCAGCCTCCACAGCAACATGGGCACTATCCACCTGGGGTAAGTATTCTTTTTTGATCGAATCTTGTTTCTGAAACGTTTTACACGGTCAATGATTGGTTTTGTCGCGCCGTTACTTGAAGGCACCTTCATGAGCTAACTTTCCTGATTTGATAGCCTTCCTACGACCAGCAGCAGCACCATCCTCAATATTCCGGACCTCCCCCTTCATACGGCCATCAAGGCTACGCGCCTCAACATGGCGCTCCTCACCAGCAGGGCGGGTACCCAGGTGATCAAAACTACGGGCAAGGCGCGCCCATGAACTATCCGCCACACGACCGTGGTCACTCTCCGTATCCCCCACAGCAGCAACAACACAATCCCCAAGGCGCAAGCGCATCCTACTATGGCGCTCCTCCGGAACAACACTACCAGGGGGCGCATCCTCCTGTTCCGGTCGGACAGGAGGGCGAAAGGGGCCTAGGCTCGACCTTGCTTGGAAGTGCTGCTGGTGGGATTATAGGCAAAAAGCTCGGCGGTGGACTTCTAGGCGCTGCAGGAGGAGCACTAGCAGGCGCTGCTGGAATGAACATGGCCAGTAAGATGTAAGGCTCAGCACTTACTTTTATTGATTGCGATAGACTCTGACTATTTTCGAATAGGTCGAAGAAGCACAAGAAGGAGAAGAAACATAAGGGCCGCAGGCGTGGATCGAGTTCTAGTTCTTCCAGCTCGAGCTCCTCTGACTAGTTCATTTGGTCACCCAAGCGCAAGCTCATTTTTGATCTTTGCCAACCCTGTTCGCTGCAAGTTTAGCTACGACAGTTACGATGATACCCTGTTGTGCTCTATATGAAGAGAAAACAGTCGAAGATGATGTTCCTTGGCGTTTTCTATATTCTTACATCCGTATAGTTTTGAGACTTGACAACTTATCGTTCATCAGAAATGTATAATTTCCATTATTATCTTTGGTCTACCTTCATATCTGCGCGAGGAGCCGTTGGTCTTGGCCAGCCCTTCATAGTCCCTTTCCCCCAGAATGATAAACATCGAGAATGCTCAGCGTACCAAGCATTCTCATTGTCGCCACATCATAACGCCTGGACCGAATCGGTCCCGCTTCGGTAACTACAGCCCATTCCTGTGGAACGGTAGTAAAAGCGCCCCATTTAAGGGCCCAAAATGAGCGACGTCAATGGCTTCTGTCGGCGGTAGAATCAGGAAATGTTCTAGAAGTGAGCTTGGAAGCTCCGAAGAAATGTCGGGTGGCAAATCCGGAAGTTCATCTACGCTATATTGTTGTAATCACCGGATAATCCAGGAGTGTCAACCAAGGGAATGGTTACCACCGTTCATTATTGCTTTTCTTTTCATTTCTGGGCGCAGGATTACTAAGTCAAGACGTAATAATGTGTTGGAGTGGTGGCGAGTGGACAGCTGACTGGTACTCATGCCCTGGCTGTGACATGGGCGGATGACATGATATAAAGTGATTGGATATGGCGAGTTTTATTATCATGGGATTTCCGAATAAATCATGTTACAAAAGTTCATAATACCGAGGAATTTGGCGACGTCGTCGATGTCGAGGCTGATTGTGATTTTAGGAGAGACAATGGTTCACTTCGGAAAAAAAGTTCTGGGGTCTCTATGCTTGACGAGCAAGGGTGAGATCCGATCGGAAAAATTCATGGAACTGGCAACGGGGGAAATGGAAAAATTCCCCAAAAAATCATAACAAACGGGACAGCAAAAATGAGACAAAAATATTGAGAAAAAGTTTGAATAGACTACTGAAATCACCGAAGTTCGAAATGTCCATTATTGAAAAGAACGATAAATGTGAGGTTAAAGTTTTTGACCCACCGGCTTGCCACCATCTCCGGTTTTTTTCGCGGGGGATAAGGGAGGATCAAAGGGATCTCAATCCGGAGATTCTGATAGCGATAACGAGGCGCCGTCAAAAGGATCGAAAATATCCAATTCCGATGCTCGATAAGCAACGATAAGGGATAAGGATTGATTTTTGATATCCGAAGTATGTATCAATTTTCAGAAGTCATCTGCAATGCAACCATGCTCTTTGGGAAGGGGAAAAGGAGACCACGTAAACCATAAAGTTCGACCTAGGAGCAGCCAGCCTGATAAATCGGTCAATAGGTTTTACTATGCTATGCTACATGCCATATACAGATTGAGCGGTGAGATTTGTCCTTCTCCTATTCAGGGAAGAATGGCGGTGATGCTCATCCATGCCTCCCGTAAGCCATCGTTTCAGACTATGGGAAATGAACGAGTAGTAAGCTGCTTCATATGAACGACGCTGAACCCCCGGAGTATTCCTGAATACGTACGGAGTACTCTTGTCTCTTTTGTGCTGGTCCCTTTGGCTTGTAATCTCGGTTGCATTTTGACTTTCTGCCTTCTTGTCGATAAGGGGGTCGGTCCCCATTTGATATATTTCCTTCAAATCCTCTTAAATGAAGGTAATGCGAAGAATTATACTACCGTAGAATGTTGATCGAGCAGATAGATTTTTCAGGAAAAATAATGATAATTCAAGCTTGCGTTCCTTGAATGTCCAGTTCCACCGCCTTGTTAGCGCAATCGTTCGCTTATCGTTATCTACTCCGTACTCCGTAGTCAGAAATTGTACGGAGAATCTACAGAGTACATCAGAGTACGGAGTACTGGCTTAGCCATCACCTTACTCTGCGGGAATGACCGGCAAGAGCGGATAAAGCGATCGAATGGAGAAGGCTTTCCCAACTCTAAAAATAATTTTTGTTTGTCGTCGTCACTCCTCCCAGACTTCCACATGTTTTTGGTACAAAGACCGAGCCCAAAGGCTAAGTAAGAATCGGCTGCGCCACCAAGTCGAGCTCCAGTAGAGAATCTTGTGGCGACAGAAATAGCCCCAGCAGCATCTGCAGCCCCAACACTTTCACGGAGACTAGTCAACTGCAGTGGACACAGGACTATCCAAGTAGATGCTTTACTGTTGCATCCCCGGATTCACACCTGTCAGGGACTAGAATTCTAGCCCAACCGCGCAAACGCTGATCAAGGGATGCGCAACATCCGGTTTTTTCTGTGTATGTAATGCTCATTACTGTCCGTCCTCATATTCAAGCCTCCGTAAGCCTGCTCAGCTCACTCTTGATTAAAAAAATGGTAATGTGCTTTATTTGATTTCTGTCTGGGGGTTGTGCGAGTGTTGTGCATGGAGTGCTTCAGCCTTGTAATAATCATTCATTAGAAAAGAAAGGGGCTACAGGCTGTTGCTCAATCTTCAAACTACGATTGGCTGGAAGTACCTCCATATCTCATAATTATCGATCTGTTCATTATTGAAGTTGCCTCCCAATGCCAAGTTTCAGTCCACTAATCTTATCGATTTCCCATCATCACACCCTGAAAGATCACAAAAAAAGTTTTTCTATGATAATAGAACTTGGAGCGAAGTTTTTCCATCGCATCGAATTAAAAAAGCCGAACTTCAGAATTCGGTTTGTCCGATCCAGATTTGATGAGTGAGCCAGAAAGGAAAAAATGAAAAAGTTTCCAACCAAAAATCATTCCATCAACTGGGTTCCTCTCCCTGTCGCCATCATGGAGGGTTGCTGGCCAATCAGCAGCGGCCAGATTAGCCCGAAGTAGACACGGACCCTATCGGGTTGGTTGCTTCGACAGCCATAGCGACTAGTGCGAATGCGGTCTTAGCGCGGGACAACGATGAAAAATTTTTTATCTTTGCAATTTTTTTCCTCGCTGCAAGGTTGGGCGGCAAAAAAAAAAGAAGGCCACAAACCGATAAATATCATCCCTCCCCATCCTCCTATTCCCCTCTTCCTTCTCACTCTGTCTCCCTCCTCATCCTTTCTTCTTCTGAAAAGAGGTATAGTCCTCTCTTTACTTTTCATTTTCCTATTTGTCTTCTGCATAGACAAAAGCATAGATTTTATCTAGAGCGTCTCTTGCGTCGTCTATTTACACAGACGCAATTTTCGTGGGCCGCCACCTCTTGATTGAGATACCCTAATAGAACGCCTTTCGCCCGTTCTTTCTTCATTTCCTCATCACTTAATTCTTTCCGACCTTTTTCGTCTTCACGATTTCGTCCAAAATGCCTGCTGTTGATGTTTCTTCCGTTCCTGCCGTCTCTGGCAAGGAGACTGCCCAGGCTGTCGCAGTTCTCGAGGACTTGATCAAGAACCTCAACATCTCGACAAGCGCTGACGAGGTTCACGCTGCCACTGGCAACCTCGCCACCTACTTCAGCGGTCCTATCCCTGAACAGACACTGCCTCTCAAGTAAGTTTGACCGCATGATTGCGAAAATCAGTGCATGTACTAACATTCTCTTCACTCAGGGCTGTCGATGCATTCCAGAAGCAGCTCAACAACAAGAAGGATGCTGCTGCCCGTGAGCGTGCTTGCGAGGCCATTCGCGCTATCGCCTCCCACCAGACCATCGCTCCCGGTGTTGAGCCCCACCTCGTCTCTCTCCTCGGCTCCGTCCTCGCTGCTGCCGGTGACAAGATGGCTGCCGTTCAGAAGGCTGCCCAGGCTGCCGCCCTCGCCATCGTGCAGGGTATCAACGCCAACGCTGTCAAGGCCGTTGTGCCTATCATTCTGAACTCCCTCCAGAATGCCCAGAAGTGGCAGGAGAAGATGTGCGCTCTTGACTGCCTCAACTGCCTCGTCGAGTCCGCCCCTGCTCAGCTCTCCTTCCGTGTGCCTGAACTGATCCCCGCTGTGTCCGAGGCCATGTGGGACACCAAGGCCGATATCAAGAAGGCTGCCTACTCCACAATGGAGAAGGTTTGCGGTCTGATCGTCAACAAGGATATTGAGCGCTTCATTCCCGAGCTCATCAAGTGTATCGCCAAGCCCGAGAACGTTCCCGAGACTGTTCACTTGCTCGGTGCTACCACTTTCGTTTCCGATGTCACTGGTCCTACTCTTGCCATCATGGTCCCTCTGCTTGACCGTGGTCTCGTTGAGCGCGAGACTGCCATCAAGCGTAAGGCCGCCGTCATTGTCGACAACATGTGTAAGCTCGTGGAGGACCCCCAGATTGTCGCTCCTTTCTTGCCCAAGTTGATGCCCCGTCTCGAGAAGAACCACGACACTCTTGCCGATCCTGAGGCCCGTGAGAAGACCAAGCAGGCCTTGGACACCCTCACCCGTGTCGGTGATGTCAAGGATGGCAAGATCCCCGAGATCTCGACTGCCGGTGATGTTGAGACCGTTGCTGGTATCCTGAAAGATATCCTCTCCCCCAAGTACAAGGCTCAGATCGAGAAGTCTGAGGCCATCATCAACTATGTCGGTGCCATCGCTGGTCAGCTTGTTGATGAGAAGGACGCCGAGGTCACCAGCTGGACCCATCACGCTCTTCCCTACATCACCGCCATTGTTGGTGAGGAGGAAGCCAAGACCATTGCCGAGACTCTGCGCAAGCGTGCTTCTCCTGGCGCTGCCGAGGCTGATGCCGTTCTGTCCGACGAGGAGGAGGGTGAAGATCTCTGCAACTGCACGTTCTCTCTGGCCTATGGTGCCAAGATCCTGCTGAACCAGACCTCTCTCCGCCTGAAGCGTGGTCAGCGTTACGGTCTTCTCGGACCTAACGGTACCGGTAAGACTACTCTGATGCGCGCCATCAACAACGAGCAGCTTGAAGGTTTCCCCAAGAAGGACGAGGTCAAGACTGTCTACGTTGAGCACGACTTGGATGCCGCCGACACTGAGCAGACCGTCATTGGCTGGACCATGAAGAAGCTCCGTGAGGTCGGTATCGACATCGCCCAGTCCGAGGTCGAGGCCAAGCTCGAGGAGTTCGGTTTCCTCCGTGAGCAGTTTGAAGGCCCCATCACCTCTTTGTCTGGTGGTTGGAAGATGAAGCTGGCTCTTGCCCGTGCCGTGTTCGAGAACCCCGACATTCTGCTCCTTGACGAGCCTACCAACCACTTGGATGTCAAGAACGTTGCCTGGTTGGAGAACTACCTTTGCACCTCTCCTTGCACTTCCATCATCGTCTCCCACGACAGCAAGTTCTTGGACAATGTTATCCAGCACGTCGTTCACTACGAGCGCTTCAAGCTCAAGCGTTACCGCGGTAACCTGAGCGAGTTCGTCAAGAAGGTTCCCAGCGCTCGTTCCTACTATGAGCTCAGCGCCTCCGACATGGAGTTCAAGTTCCCCGAGCCTGGTTTCCTCGAGGGTGTCAAGACCAAGGCCAAGGCCATCATCCGTGTCAGCAACATGTCCTTCCAGTACCCCGGAACTCCCCGGCCCCAGCTCACCGACATCTCCTTCCAAGTCTCTCTGGGCTCTCGTATTGCCGTTATCGGTCCCAACGGTGCTGGTAAATCCACCCTCGTCAACGTCCTGACTGGTGAGCTCATCCCCACCGGTGGTGATGTCTACCAGCACGAGAACATCCGTATCGCCTACATCAAGCAGCATGCTTTCGCTCACATCGATAACCACCTCGACAAGACTCCCTCTGAGTACATTCAGTGGCGTTTCCAGACCGGTGAGGACCGTGAGACCATGGACCGCGCCAACAAGATCGTCACCGAGGATGACGAGAAGGCCATGGACAAGATTTACAAGATCGAAGGTACCTTCCGCCGTGTCATCGGTATCCACGCTCGTCGTAAGTTCAAGAACAGCTACGAGTACGAATGCTCTTTCGCTCTCGGTGAGAACATCGGCATGAAGAGCGAGAAGTGGACCCCTATGATGAGCAATGACAACGCCTGGATTCCTCGTAGCGAGATTATCCAGTCCCACGCCAAGATGGTTGCCGATGTCGACCAGAAGGAGGCCCTCGCCAGCGGTCAGTTCCGTCCTCTGGTCCGCAAGGAGATTGAGGTCCACTGCGCCAACTTCGGTCTCGATGCCGAACTCGTTTCCCACTCACGTATGCGCGGTCTCTCCGGTGGTCAGCGTGTCAAGGTCGTCCTCGCCGCCTGCTCGTGGCAGCGTCCTCACGTCATCGTCCTCGACGAGCCCACCAACTACCTCGACCGTGACTCTCTGGGTGCCCTGTCCAAGGCTCTCAAGTCTTTCGAGGGTGGTGTCGTTATCATTACCCACTCCCGTGAGTTCACCGAGAACCTGACCGAGGAAGTCTGGGCTGTCATGGACGGCAAGATGACTCCTTCGGGCCACAACTGGGTTCAGGGTCAAGGCTCCGGTCCTCGTCTGGCCGACAAGGAGGGAGACACCGAGGTTGTCGATGCCTTTGGCAACAAGTCGACTGTCGAAAAGAAGAAGAAGTTGACCAGCGCTGAACTTCGTAAAAAGAAGAAGGAGAGGATCGCCAGGAGAAAAAGAGGAGAGGAGGTTTTCTCTGACGAGGATGATATTTAGAGGGTTTTCCGTTGAAAGAAAAGGAAAGGGTCTATTGTTCTGGCTTAATATTGGCGAGTTGCAAGTTTTGTCATGCTTATAGACGTTATGATAGTATGAATTTCATTGCACAATTTTCGACATGATTTTGAAGCTATACAAACTTAGGATACTTGTGAAATAGCCGTAGACACAGGCGGTTGGGTCTGCCGCTGAACTAGGCCGCTTTAGTCTTAGTCCCATCTACCCGCACTTGCTTACAACCCAGGGGGATTTCCTTACCAGCTATCTACATACTGTCATTGCTGCATACTTATTACAAAGAAAATAGCGATCTATGCTTACGAGTGTTTTATTGATTTCAAAGTTTAATATTGATCATCCAACGTAAATTAAAATACGGGTGGTTACGACTGGGTTCTCTCATTCTGTCCCCTGTTTCCCGCACATAGATCAAGAGTCCGAAGTGATGAATTCGGTGCAATGATCTAAATCATTGCCGAACTAGTTGTGTGTCATTTTGCGACCCTGCATGTGAACAGTCGATCGAAACTCCCTTGAAGAAAGAAAAAGGGTTGACGAACATTGACAAGAACAGTGAGAAAAGTATGTTTTTAGATGAGTGGATTTAAATGCTCCATCATGTTTTTGTCCATGTTGGCGCTTTGCTCGTTGGGAGTCCAACGACCTCCTAGTCTTTCATTCCTAGGTCTATGCAATCCTTCGTACCATATCCTTGTGTCAAGAGAGTACTGGTGTTTATTTTGGCGGATCTTGCTCATCACTTTCTCATACCAATTTCTTTTCTTTTTCCTTTTTTCTTTTTTTTTTTTTTTTTTTTGTGATGTATACCGGCTCCTAACCTTTAGGCTATAGGTTGATGTTTTCTTTGATATCGTCTTCATAAGGGCTTCCAAGCGCCAACCTCAAAAGGCATTTTGGCTTCGGCGAAATTGCCATTGTACCCACTCGAACAATGGCTTGCTAGATTTGACAGTCTAGGCATTCTGTTATACGCCTGCCTATGATTCGCACAAATCGACCGGTTCTGCCCATCAGGCAATCTCTCTGTTGCTGAAAGGTCGTTAGCAAGGGTCTGCAGACTCATGAAAACGACTTTATGCCGCCTCAGTACGGGAAGAAGTATATGGAGTATGCAGAACCTGATACCTATGCGTGTTACTGGATTCAATGCCTGGATCAAGGAGAAGAAGGTAGAGACATTTCTCACAAGAGACAGGAGGATTTCTTCCGCAGCAGTGAAGCGAGACTGTCTCGTCTGTCACGACTCTTGATGATCTGATGTTGCAAGTCAGACAACTCTGTTGGAGCAAGGTGCTCGTCCTTGGGCCTTGTTCATCAAGTACAGAAGTGGAGATGGATAAGGATATATGTGTGCTTGATACAAGCTTAATGAGAGCAGCCTTCCTTTGTCCCGGAGAGTCCATTACTTCTTGATTCCCTCAATTTCGGCCTCACAAAGCATGACAGCTCAGCAGCTTTCGCTGTCAGCCATCCTTCCAGCCTATTGCTCGGGAGTGGGACCAGTCTGAATACAATAACCTTCGACTGCCGTAGGCGCTCGACAATAGAAGGTTTGGCAAAGACTGATCCTACGTCTTCAAACAAGGGGAAAGCCATTAAGAAGGCAAAAGGGAACAAAAAGTATTTCCCGGTGATTGCCGCCAGAAACTGGCTGGCCGCTGGCTGGCTTGACAATTGCAAAAGTGGCGCTTTGGCAATCTTCAGTGGCCCGAGTCTCTTCCTGTCCCGCTCAATTGACTGCAACGCCACCGCCTTGCACTGCTTGCCTATTTGGAGGTTGATGTCACCAGCTGATTGCTGTTGGCGAGCCTGACTGCTATTTTCCCAAAGTCTTTGCCTCTTGTAGCAGGGTGGTCAGCACTGTGAGCCTTTGCTCGATTGCTCGGGTGACAGCTCTGACTCATATACGACGGTTGATTGATATCATATACTGAGGTGGGTATCTCCATGTCGAAGTGATTGGCCGCCTACGAGACAAAACTGGTAGAGAAGTGCTATCTTCGTGAAAAGAAACATATTGCAAGGTGATACTTGTCTTCGGTTTGGTTGATATCCTAAATCTCTATCTGATGGGCACAGTGGCAGGCTGGCGCCGAGTTTCTGGTTGGGGATAGAACGAACTGGGGGACTCTCTTTTCCCACTTACGGCAATGACAGCGGCCCTAGCTTCATTGTTGGAAGACTTGCAGCAACACTACAAGCTGCAGGATTGTCATCATCATCTGAGTTTATCACACCGTCAGTAACGTCAGGCTATGCAGCAGAGGCAAGGAGCCCATGCAACCCTGGGCCTTATTTCGCCTTATTCCTGAATGCTTCTTACCAATGTCAACTTGAGCCTTCTAAGTGGTGATGTAATTTAAATGATATCACCTCTGAATGGATATCTTCTATAACTACCATCTTTGGCATTAGACTGTAGTATTCACTAAGCCAGCCAACTTCCAGAGAGGTCTCCACTCCTGTTGGATACCATTCACTGGATTCGCTTGCGGATCTCGCTCAAGGAATTCAATATACATCCTCCATTCACCGATGATAAGCCCCTGTTCTTCTTCAACTTCCCTCTCAGCTTCTCACCCAGCTTCTGCTTCGCTTTCTCCTTGTGATGCTCTGTACTACATCGCCCCTTGCCTCCACTCATCCACTTCCAGAATGTATGCCACCCGTCCCGTTTCTTTCTTGCAGGGTATGCATGGCTAATTATAAGCAGCACCCCACAACCTTCCACCATCGAAAGGGCGATGACATCCTTTTCAGCCCGAGGAGGATAACCGAGGACCATAGATGCAAAACCAAACAGCATAGCCGGTCTTCTGACTCCCGTGCACAGAGACTATAGGCACTGGTTTACAATTTCGTCACTTAAATGACGAGGAAGGGCTTTCCAGCGGCCACAGATGGCAGTGGCTGGTTGAAGTTGCCCATACTAAAACAGCTATCCAATTGGTGCTGCAGTTGCAGCACGTCCTTGCAAAGTAATGTTGATACCAGCTCTTGACAGACACATGACTAACTGACTGATAGAGGCCTCGCCTGGAGAAGATGAAGGGAGAGTGGTGAAAGGAGCATTTACAAGAGGTAAGCTCCCTTTTAAGTATCAATGCATACATATATGTTGGATACGTACTATGTACTCTATACTATATGCACTATATATCTTAAGATAGTACTAACTATAAGGTTTTATTAGCTCCGCGAAGGTCACTGGGTCGTCCCAGACGACGAGGAAGTCGGGGGCCCTGGCCAGGGGGATACCCTGACCGCTGGCCAAGCCCTCCGACAGCAGGGGTTGCTGCACGAGCTCGAGGAGCGCAAGGCAGTGAAGAACCAGCGCCTTCAGGAAAAGCGAGAGCTACAGGATGAGATCCGCGGATCAGGCCTTCCACCAGGCGAAGGCGGATGTGGCAGAGACAGTTCGTAAGCTGAATAAGCTGTGAAGGAAGCAAACCTTTCGCACTTCGTCGCGTGCGATGTTTGTAACCTATCTTCGATGGGTCCTTTTCTTATCCTTGTTCGAACACAGACCTCAGCGTTGCTGAGCGTATTCCTTCCTCGAATATCTCGCTGCCCGATATGTTCTCGGTTCCTTCAAAGATATGCCGCTCAATGTTGCCGACCGAACCGGCGCAGTTCATGCTGTGGAGGGAGAGATTAATCATGGACTTACTTATACACAGTGTAGCTGTGTCGTGCTTCTGGATCCTGTCTATGCTGTCGATTAGGCAAGAAAGATGCAGGCGTGGTGATTAACCCTTAATTGATCTATATTAATATGGTTTCTTCCAGGCTGATGAGTATGGTGTAGTCTCTTTCCTGCATTACCTAGTGAGTAAGGCTCTATCCCTTTCCTCTAGAACTCCATTAATTGATAAAGGAAAATGTCCTATGTTGTCTGTTGAACCTCCGCCCACCCTAAATAAGCATTGCAAGAAGAATCCTCTTAACGGAGAAGACCTTGCATGGCTGCTTACTGCTGACATCTAGAATGATTTGAACCAGCTTCAAGCGGCGCGATATGATCTTATTTGATTCGAAAAGATCTGTGAGAAACAGATCGCAGTCCTTATCAAAGCAGAGGCTTCGTCAATACGCAGCTTTAAGAGTCAAACCATTGGCATATTATTAGCGGTAGTAAATTTCACTATAACAGAGTGATCAGCCATCTCCCTATCGAGCTCGGTCAATTCTCAACATGCCATATTTGTCAACATATGGCCTTTCTCCTTTAGTAATCGCAGTTCCAGTCGATGTACCTTAGCCGTTCATCGTCACTATCAATCTCAGGAGGGATGTTCTCGGCATTTGAAGGGTCCAGGTCTGTGGATTTCCTTTTAAGAGACATGGTGTTCTGTATAGCGTTGAAGGGGTCTTTTAATAGACTGAAGAAGGAGAGACAAGTTGAGTGGGTAGTGACAAAACGCGTGCTTCAGGGGAAGTAAACACTAAATACCCACCTGACAGACGCACGATATGAGCTATCACGATTACCTTCAGGGGTCACCCTGCAACGATCAGAGAAATCTAATACCTCGCCAGAGTTTCATTGGTTAATTCATTATTCCTTTATTAGAAAATATCTTGATCCCGCTCATCGCTGATTTCTCTCGAAATGCTCGCTCATCTACCTGTTTCTTTATATGACGTCATGTCTAGTATGAATTTGCTCTGTTTTAACCAGAAGCCATCGGAGGCAGAGCATTATTGTCAGAGACAACAAGTAGGTGCAACAACTGTACACAGTTCTTTCAGTCTCAGGACGATATCTTCTTCGAGTAGGTTCCGGGAAGGCACCTAATGAGGACCCGCAAGCCTGTCATCGAGGATCTTGCGAATGCCGTTCTAGTCACATGAAGGGACGCGCTAATATATGGCCTGACTGGCTGGACCCGCCTGCGAGAGAGGTCTTACACTTGTGCGAACCCGCGAGCCCGCTGTGAGCAAGGCGAAGAGTAGCACGCGGTTACTCTTCCGTAGCCACATCTACCGGTCCCTAGAGAAAAGTTGGATCAATCTCCCGTTGACATCAACCTTCTGAAACAGGCTTGGCACTTGATCGTGTTCAACGACGGTCGATATCTGGGGAAAGAGCTTTACCGATTCCCACTTGAAGTAGTGCTTTTGGTTCTTCTCATCCCATTCCAAGCGCGGCACCATGCAGTAGATGCGCCTCCAGAGTCGTTGCATGAATCGCCGTGTGATTTGATGAGGTCGTCCGTTTACGAAGTCCCTGAAAGTTGGCCCCTTTTTTGGTCCTTCTGTCAGAAATGCTACATCAAGACCGGTCTGCCGGGGAGAGTCCAGGGGGACGCCAACGGCTTTCCTTCTCTTCGGTGGTGTCCATGGTATTCTCCCAGAGATCAGATCCCGCAATGTATCAAGCTCTGCATCGGGCAGCGGCGGCAAAAGGCTGTCAAGCACGGCGTAGTACCATTTTTTCCTGATGTTTCGCTGGCGACTTTTGGCAACCGGCTTACCCCAGCTGTTTTCCTTGGGTATAGGCGGCTCTAGAGTCTTAACAACAGAACGATCGGTGAGCTGTGAAATGACTCCATTACGCAATTGAGACTTTAAGAGATCGAGCACAATTGTCGGAGGTTTCCAATCATCTTCGAACATCGAAGGCCCCTTCAGAATGCCTTCCACGGCCAAGGCATCGGGAGGAACTTCCGGGACAATGAATACACCTAGCAAATCCCTTCTTTTCTTTCCATTTCTTCCATATGAGAGCCGGAGAACCTTTTCGAGCGGTCGAGAATAGCCTTCGTTGGCACGCTTCAGTAACGACAATTTCTGGGTTGCAGTTTTGCGGAGGAGGTGCTGCCGACGTAAATCATCTTGTAGCTTAGATTGCGATCTGTCGGAATAGCGTCGAAATCTCCGGACTACATAGTCATGCATGTAACCTCGGGCGATCGGGTCAGGGAGATATGTGCATTCGCGGAGTAAGGCACGAAAGAGATGTCGCCATTGTTCGGGAGGGATGAGCGGTGAGGAGGACATTGTTCACTTGGAAAGTCTCATAGATCGCAGTTCATGAAATTTGGAATATCTGTCTATACTGCATCTTGCAGTGCTGTTAGTTGTCGCGATAACCGATGGTCCCGGGGACAGAGAATCCAGCGGAGAACAAGTCAATCCCCGGCCGAAAAAGGAAATAGATGGTTTTTTGAGTTCCGACTCAGTTACGCGAAAACGCCAAGCGGAGAACGCGACCGTCAGGCCCCGCGACTCCTCATCACGATCTTCGTTCACTTCCATGCACGATTTACAGCCTGATTGAATCTAGAATTGGCGAATGCATATTTCATAGCTACAGGTCGATTTATTCTGGTTCTTGTTACTTGTACATCTCTTCGTCTGCTCAGATTGGCTTGTTTCCCCATCCCTTTCGTGATCGAGGCGCCAGCCACGCGCCCTTCGTTGCCTCCTCGCGCGACTCAACTGCTTGGTAGTTCTTGAATAGGTGCGTTTCCCCACTCGATTTCACCCTTGTCCAGAGACCAATTTTCCCTTCATTTTTGCTTATTCTCCAAATGAGATGGAAAATAATGATAAGTGTATGAGAAATCGCATCTTGTACTGACACATCGCCTTCAGACCGCGCATGTGCATGGTGTCAGAGTTCGGGAGACACGGCACCTCCAAGTGATGACTTCCAACAACCACCATCCACCGCGGCCCAGCTTGCCCATGTCGTACTCTCAAAGCAGCTTAGGTTCAGCTAATGGGATAGCTTTCTCTCAGTCACAAATGGGATCTTTCAATGCTTCCCAGTCTGTCGCGTCGACGCCTCGAGCGACACCCCCTCCGAAAAGCTCACAGCAATCGATGTCCTTTAGCTATCCAAATGGTCTTCCTGGCGGCGTGAGAGGTAGCTTTGGAGGGTTTGATGATATGAATGGCTATGGGGCAATGGTGCAGTATCAAGAGGAATATAGACCGCAGATCTACAAGGTTGGTTTATCTTTTGGCCTCTGGATTCTATTTGTTGACGATTCTTCTTGTTGAAGGCTGTCTACTCCAACGTCTCTGTCTACGAAATGGAAGTAAACGGAGTTGCCGTTATGAAGCGTCGGTCCGATTCCTGGTTGAATGCTACTCAAATCCTCAAAGTAGCTGGCGTTGTTAAAGCTCGAAGGACGAAGACTCTCGAGAAAGAAATTGCTGCAGGCGAACATGAGAAAGTCCAAGGAGGCTATGGAAAATACCAAGGAACATGGGTGAATTATCAAAGAGGCGTCGAGCTTTGCCGTGAGTATCACGTTGAGGAGTTATTGAGACCACTCCTTGAATACGATATGGGACCCAACGGCACCGCGAATTCTGGCCATGACACTCTAGACACTCCTACAAAGGAGCAAGCGATGGCAGCGCAGAGGAAGAGGCTTTATAGCGGTGCGGATAACCGCGCCATGTCGCAACCGCAGCAGGGTACTTTCTTCCAGAATATCTCCCGGACCGCTGCAACGGCTGTCAATGCCATCAGCAAAGCTCGGTTCGATTCACCTGCCGCAAGAAATGTCGATAGTAGGCGCTCAAGTATCATGCGAAAGTCGTCACATCAGATGAGCAGCCAGGAGTCTCAGCTCCCCACGTTTAGCAGTCAGCAAACCATGTACAGTGTGGCGTCCGACAGTGGATTCGGCAGCAACGCCCAGAGCAATGGCCGATTCAATGGTCCTGATGTCGCCGCCTTCGAGACAGAAGAGCCGACCGAGCCGCCTCGTAAGCGTATCAGGTCGTCTTCAAACCATGTGCCGTCTTTTGGCCTTCAACGGGAGCATTCTTCCTTGTCCATGCAAGAACCCACCCCAACAGAACCGAACGACTCTTTCTACCAGGAAATGGACGGGCCCGCTTCTATGGTGGATGACAACAGGCGTGGCTCAGACCCTCTGCCTCCTGCCACAACTCCAGAAAGATTTCAGAAAATGAAGCTTATCATGACCTTGTTTCTTGACAAGAGGACCAAGGATTTCTCCAACCATCCGGCGTTGTTGCAACTCACTGGTGAAGATCTAGAGATTCCACTTGATGAATACCGCAACAACGCTCTTCATTGGGCAGCAATGCTTGCTCGGATGCCCCTTGTCTATGCGCTTGTTGAGAAAGGTGTGAGCATCTATCGTTTAAATGGTGCGGGCGAGACAGCTTTACAAAAATCCGTCGGGACAAGAAACAACCTCGATTACAGAAGCTTTCCGCGCTTATTACAGGTGCTGGCTCCCACCATAGACATGGTTGACTATAGTGGACGCACGATTCTGCACCACATCGCAGTGATGGCTGCAACTGGCGGTGGTGGTCATGTGTCCGCGAAGCACTATTTGGAGGCTCTGCTGGAGTTCATAGTCCGCCACGGAGGCACGTGCATCAGCCAGCAGCCTCCGAATGGGGTTGAGGGCACCAATGGTAATAAAGCTCAAGCAGGCGAAGTCATCACTCTGGGCAGATTTATTTCGGAAATAGTCAATCTTCGGGATGATCAAGGGGACACAGCACTTAACCTTGCCGGGCGAGCCCGTTCTGTCTTAGTGCCTCAATTGCTAGAAGTTGGTGCGGACCCTCATATACCTAATCACACTGGTCTCCGTCCTGCCGACTATGGCGTCGGCGTGGATATGGTTGATGGCAACGCTCAATCCCAACAAGCTGGAAGCAAGAATGACTCTTTCATTGATCATCTGACCAAAACGAAGAAAGAAATCTTTGATGGTGCGGAACCCCCCTCCTTGAATCTAAAGATCAAGCTATACTAACAACTTGAAGCAACAATGGCCCAGATTAGCACAATAGTACAGGAGACATTAGGCGGCATCGACAAAGAACTAGCCACCGACTTGTCCAAGAAGCAAGCGAAGTTTGAACATTGGCATTCCAAAATACGCGAGACTGCCAAGGCCCGTCAAATAGAACAGAAGAAACTGGACGACCTCAAGAGCAAGTCTTCAGATCGTGTCGAATTAAGCAGACGGATCAAAAATTTGGAAAGGTCGTCTGAAGACCTTCTCGTGAAGCTTAAAGAGATACATGGTGGACACTTCGAGCCTTCCAAAATGACCATAGTTGGAGATGCGGATCAAGATTCTGGCGTCGACATGACGGAATTCGAGGCCCTCTTCCCCGAAACGTTCGATCCTACATCAGGGTTTTCCGAAAAGCAGGTAGCCTATCTCAAGTCTCTGACTTCTCCTGAGATCCTGCAGCAACGCATCAAATGCTATCAAGATTTCAATCAAGAGATACTTGCTGAGGTGGATTGTTTGAAATCGAAGAACGTGGTGTTGGGTCAGAACTACCGTCGAATGGTCATGGCCTGTACCGGCTGGACGGCGGAACAGGTCGATGAAGCCGCCGAAGGGTTAACACAATGCGTGAAGGATTTGAATGACAATCCTGTTCCTGAGGATGAGGCTATCGAGATCCTCATGAGAGATAGGGGTCAGGATTGGTAATGAGATTTTTATGTCATTCTTTGCGCATTAGCCCGCTGGTCTCTCGGAGTTCTCACATTTCGGTGTCAGGGATCATTGTCCATAACACGGTTGAGGGTTTTTCTTGCATCTGTGGAGTTCTTTTTGTGCCTCAATAGGCGTCTCATGCATCCGACGTCTGTATTTACAGATACCCATGGCAGCTATAACTGTCTGATACGGCATACCACTGTACTTATACTTCTTACGACAATGTAACAATTGGGCCTGTGTGATTGTTGTCTTTCTTAGCAGTAGAGCTACGAGCATGGATGTCAATGTCGGGCAACACCCTGATTCATTTGCTTGGCCGGTGTTCCCCCCGATGACAATGTCTCCAGGAATGGAGCTTCGTCGTGCTATTCGCCCCTTCAGGCTTGGCTGCTTCACACCTCGGTCTCAGCCTGCTGAAATCAGCCTAAATCGCGTCTTTTAACCGACAAAATCATTGAAACTCCCCGCAGGAAACGGAAGCCAACACAGGAGCTAACCCCGCCTGTCCCCAACTATGCTTTCTCCAGTGGCTCGACGTGGAGATTCAGTTATGAATTTTGCCTTTATTCTGAGTCGAGGACGCGGGTCAATACCTATAAAGGTACTGGAAACCTTTGCATGACCTCAACTATGCCATGCAAATCAATCAAGTCGTGAACGCAATTCGATCGCGAGCACATAACGATCGTTGATCATTTGAATACAAAATGGCTACTGGGATTCTGAAAGTTAAAGGAAACAAAGTAGTCGACAGCAATGGAGACGAAGTTCTTCTCCGTGGTGCCGCTATTGGCGGTTGGATGAAGTATGCAGTAACACAATACCTTTATTTTACCCTTTTTGAGGTAAATGGTAATTGACACCTTTGAAAATAGTATGGAGAATTTCATCACTGGTTACCCAGGTCATGAGTCGCAGCATCGTGCTGCTATGCGGAGAGTCTTAGGGCCAGAGAAGTACGAATTCTTTTTCGACAAGTGGCTCGAGTATTTCTTCACAGAGGCGGATGCCAAGTTCTTTGCCGGACTGGGATTGAATTGCATACGGATCCCGTTCAATTATCGCCATTTTGAAGATGATATGAACCCACGGGTACTGAAGGAGTCCGGCTTCAAGCACTTGGATCGGGTGATTGACTTGGTAAGAGTTCTACAACGCAACGTCGACATGCTGCTGATTTGTTATTCTCCGTGATAGTGCGCAAAAGAGAAGATATACACCATTCTGGATATGCACACGGCTCCTGGTGGACAGAACGGAGACTGGCATTCTGATAACCCAACCAGCTACGCTGCTTTCTGGGATTTCAAGGACCATCAAGACCGGACGATATGGCTGTGGGAGCAGATTGCAGCACGATACAAGAACAATCCATGGGTTGCTGGATACAACCCTCTGAATGAGCCGTGCGATCCAGAGCACGTCAGGCTGCCGGCGTTTTATGAGCGTGTTGAGAAAGCCATCCGAGCTATTGATCCAGATCATATCCTGTGGCTGGATGGGAACACGTTCGCCATGGAGTGGAAAGGCTTCGATAAGGTTCTTTCGAACTGCGTTTATGCTATGCATGACTATTCTGTAGGCCATTTCCCATCCGACCAAAGAGTACTCGTGCTGATTGGTTTCATTAGTCAATGGGTTTCCCTACCGGAGAGCGCTACAAGGGGACCCCGGAACAAAAGGAACAAGTTGAACGGCAGTACCTTCGCAAAGCCGAGTTCATGAATACAAACGGCACAGCAATCTGGAACGGCGAGTTCGGTCCCGTCTACGCTAACCCCCGCACTGAGGCAGAGGCAGAAACTATCAATCAAGAGCGTTATAGCCTTCTGGGAGAGCAGCTTCGTATCTACGACAAGTACAACATCCACTGGTCTATCTGGCTGTACAAGGACATTGGCCTGCAGGGAATGATCCACACAAGTCCAGACAGCAAATGGAACAAGACGATCCAGCCCTTGCTGGAGAAGAAGAAGAAGTTCTGGCTTGATGCATGGGGCAGAGAGCCATCGGCCGAGCCTGAAGCAGCACTCAAGCCACTAGTTGATTGGATCGACAAGGTCAGTCCACAAGCCAAGGAAACGTACCCCACCCCTTGGCATACCGAGCGTCATCTACTGCGAAACGTCTTCCAGACATTCCTGGCAGCATCTTTTGTAGACGAGTTCGCGGAGCTATTCAGAGGAATGGATGAGAAGGAGTTGGAGGCGTTGGCACACAGCTTTCATTTTGATGAGTGTGTGCAGCGAGGAGGACTGAATGAAATCCTGAGGGAACATGCTCGTGCAACGAAGCACTGAGGGACTGGTATATGGAGGAGTAGATAATCTGTATAATCAATCAGCGAGCCTGATGACTTCTAGATGTACTCTGAATCTCCACTGCTGTGATTGGTGCGTGCGTATAGCGTAGTTATAACTCAGCTTGCAACAAACTCGTTCCAATCTTCCAGCATACTTCATTAATGCCACGGCCTCAACTGGCCCCACCACAATCTCCGAATCCGCCTTATCGATAACAAAAAATGGGCGCGAGGAAAAAAACTGGTAGGCGGGGTACCTGCCCTTTTTCATCGTCATCACCAAAGCCATCAGCAGTCGCTCTTTTGCTAGCTTCATTCTTAGGTGGTCTGGTTCGAGTGCTTAGGAGCATTCAGCATGTTCTTGTGAAAAATTCCAAATCGTACCACTCGTCACGTGTTCGTTAATGTTGACGGCCCAACCGAGGTCTATCCAAAGGACAAAGGCATAATCCATCAGTTCGACCTTTTTGAAGGCATTCAAAAGTCACTCTTTCAAGATTCAGATTCTAAAAGAAGTCCTTCAAGATGACTGAAGCATCGAACGCTTCTTACCCGTCGTCCTTGGACGTTCTGTTTGATGGGACATCGCCGTTGAGAGAACAGTATGACCCGGTCAAACTAGAGGATGCAGAGATCGTACCCATCCTCCAACTTCCACTGGCTAGAGAACTGCTGGGACACAACTCTGCAGATGCGAGTGCTATCAGACGCGTCTCCAACGGCGAGATTTGCTATACCACCTTTTTGACCGAGAAGGCCAAGGCTACGGCTCAGATGCCGCTGGATGGGCTTACTTCTGAACAGCAACGGTCACAGATCCTCCATATTGGTCTGGCGGCTCTGTTTAGCTTTATGCAATCTAATATTACTGGCCCTCCGTTGGATTTCAACTCGGCGGATGTGGCATTCCCTGATGCTCTCCACTCAGATGCCACCAAGCTCCGGGCTGTTCGCAATCACATCATTCGTGAACTCTCTGTAGACGGAGAAGCTGCCTACAAGTTGACGCCGAATGTTGAGCTCTTTGCCCTTGCGAAGGCTCTCCTTGTTGATGCGGACATCCTTCTCCCTGACGGACCGTTGGTGGCAAGGACGGCAAGATTGCGCGTCAATTTTCTTCACCAGAAGATGCTGTCTGAAGCTACTAGCACATTACAAGACGCCATCTATAGCGATTTGGAAGAGTTGGACAAGGCACTACTTAGCGAAAAGTCTGTATTCTCTACCGCTCAAGAAAAAGGACGCTTCCTTGTGGAGAGGGCAACAATCCACAGCCACCATGGCTTCGACGCCAAGGCTCGGGCAGATCTTGAGCAGGCTGCTGCAGTCAGGAAATTTGAGTTCGCTTTGACTGGAAAACTGGGGAAAAGGACGAAGTTCCAAGAACATGATATCAGCCAGCTGGTTGTCTTGGCAAAGAGTGCCGAAGAACTGACCTCCACCGGAAACTCTGCTCTTCCGGACAAGGAGGATACAACCCAAGCAGGACCTAAGAACCTAGACCTCAACGATGATACTCTTCTCGAAAGCATATCATTTGCCAAGGATGCCCAGACGTCTCAAAACAAGTCGACGACTGTCCAGGAAGAATCTACGCTTCCTCCGGCTTTGCAGTCTCTTGACCCCGGCAGCCAACCACTGCTGGACCCTGTTGACTCTGCCATTTTGCTGGGTTTGGCTTCCGCAATCACAAACACATCGCCGGAGAACGGTCTGACTCGGGAAGAGACCCACCCTTACGCTATCCGTGTCCTTGAAGGTGGCAGTTCGAACTGGCAGGTATACACTCAAGCTTTGTTGGTCCGAAGCCGTGTGGAAGGATACCGAGCTCGAACCGTAGAAAGATCTGTTCTGCAGATGCAAGCGCTTGTTGACCAAGTCATTGCAGACACAGCAACTCTTGATACTCAAACTACCGAAAATGGTAACCAAGCTACCACATTCCTCCCAAGACCCGAGAAATCCGAGTCTGCTTCGGCCGCTGAAAGACTAGAGTATATCTGGCTCTTAAATTCTCCTACTCGGTGGAGTCTCGAAGCTGAGTTGGCTCAACGCTGGGTCAACCTTGGCGGTCTACGGACTGCTCTAGACATCTACGAACGCCTGCAGATGTGGGCGGAGGCCGCTCTCTGCTACGCTGCCACAGACAGAGAAGAAAAGGCCAAGTATGTCGTCCGCAGACAGCTCTATGAGCCCACGGGTCCAGACCCAGAGGACGAGAACGAAAAGTTCGACGGGCCGGAACTGTCTCCGCTGCCCGTTGATGCCCCTCGCTTGCTCTGCATCCTGGGTGACATCGATAGTGATCCTACAATGTACGAACGCGCATGGGAAGTCTCGAACAACAGATACGCACGCGCGCAGCGTTCATTGGCCCGCCACTATCTTTCATTGAAGCCCCCTGCTCTTGAAAAAGCAGAGGAGGCATACCGCAAGAGTCTTCACATCAACCGTCTCAACCATAGCGCATGGTTTGCCCTTGGTTGTGTACAGCTTGAACTGCAAAAATGGGAGGACGCCATCGACTCATTTACACGGACCGTGCAGCTCGAAGACACGGACGCCGAAGCGTGGAGCAACCTTGCTGCTGCCATCCTGCGAACCCCCAAACCCAGCGAAACCACCGAAACAGCAAAGGAGGAGCAGCAGGATGCAGACGCCGATGCCGACTCGGAAACCAAAAAAGCACCACAGGATCCCTATAAGCGCAAGCGCGAGGCCCTTGCCGCTCTCCATCGCGCCGCTCGGCTCAAGCACACCGATGCTCGCATCTGGGACAACGTTCTGACAGTCGCAGCCTCGATCCCTCCACCAGCTACACCATTTCGCGATGTGGTCACAGCCCAGAGACGGGTGATTGAAATTCTTGGCCCAAAGAACGGAGAGAAGTGCGTCGATATACCTGTTCTCAGTATGTTGATTGAGCACCTCGTCGACACCTACAACTACGAGGACCTTCTGATGAGGGTCGATGAAAACGACGAGAATTCGGAGCCCGTCGTTCGCAGTGGTACCATGGCTGGTCAGATTCTCTCCCTCGTCGACGATTGCGTTGTGCCTCTGATCACACACTCGGCTCCGCTCTGGCTTCTTGTTGCCCGTGTAGAACAGTTCCGTGGCCAGCCGTCCAAGGCCTTTGAGGCGCATGAGAAGGCCTGGCGAGCTACCGTTGCTTCGTGCACACAGGGTGCATTCCAAATGGGCGATGAGAAGAAGTGGATGGATATCGTCCGGGCTACAGAGAGGTTGGTCCGCGATGGATATGCTAAGTTTGGGCCTATGGACAAAGAAGGCAAACATGAGGAGGACGCTGAAATGGTTGCTAAGGACTGGCGATTCAAGGCCCGCAGTGCTGTCAGGGGTATTCTGGGTAAAGGAAAGGACTTTTGGGAGGATTCCGAGGGTTGGAGTCGTCTGAAAGAGCTGCAGTCTGAAGTGGGAAGCTCTTAGTTGTCGGAGTTGAGCGATGTCTTATGCACGTCATGTCGGATAGAATTTGATTAGCGTTCAAGTATGAATAGATCTGTCTTTCGTGATCATGTCTTCGTTCTGAGTCGTCATGTAACGTTCCATGCCCTCTTCCGCATCACCTTCCTTCCACCTTTCTCTTTAACATCCCACAGAAGCTCTCAAACAAGACCGAATCTGATCCTTTGAGCCAACGCACGACAACTCGAACGCACTTTTCATCAAGCCTATCCTGCTTCAGCTGGACCTTGAAACCAAGAGCCGCTGTACTCTCATCAATTTCCATCATGTCCGCAGTGCCAGCTGAGATCTGCAACTTTCTGCGAGCTTGCCGAGACCAAACATTCTCCATTGCGAATCCCACGCCCGTAGCCAGATTCTTACGCCAAGTCCAATGAATGCGAAGGCTGCTGAGTTCTTTGTCAATTTTGTCGCTGATGTGATCGATCGATTGATCAGCAATCTCGAACAGAAACTCGGACGGAAATGGTAGGAGGTGTTTCGGGAAACCAGGGATGCCTCGGGCTACTTTCTGTTGCAGATCAGCACGGGAGCACTCAAACACTAGACCAAGATGTATTGAAACATACCATACTCGGACGAAGATCAGTCCACGACCACGCCACAGCCCACCTCTTCGTCTTGCTGCCTTGAACAAACTCCGTTACTGCGTAGTTGTTGTTCCCATGTTCCGTCAGTTTCTCAACTATGACGGACACACTGCTCAACTTCCCAAGCATTGAGGTGTACCAGACAACTCTCTCACGGAGATGAAGGCTTTCCTCGATCATACGATAGACAAAAGCTATTTCGCCGCCTCCAGTGACCATCTCGACCTCGGCTCCTGTGCATGCCTGTGTCCGCTGATTAGCTGGCGTTTGTTAGTCTCGGTGGTTTGAACTTACTGAAAATGGAGGCCGTTCCTTAGCCTGTGCTGAAGCTATCATTTCTTCGCGTGAGGCGTAGAACGGAGGATTGCACATGGTAAAATCGAGCCTGAAAAAAAATCTCAGATACATGCCCTTTTGTGCAATCTCAGTGGATACATACCTTTGGACGTCGAGCTTTGTGTCTAGAGGAATGAGATCATCCTTGGGCTCGGTTTTGAATACTCGGATTCGACCATCAAGTCCGTTATTTGTCACGTTTTCTCGGGCGGTCCGAACATTTTCATCGTCGATATCTAGGTTCGTGTGAGCTTTCCATCCACCGGATAAGCATTGAAGCCGACAATGATTACCTGTAGCAATGAAATCCCACAGGGGCCGTGTCGTGCATCCTAGCAATGGGTATATACTGCAGCATCCTGTTCCGCTACGAAAGTCAGAAGAAGCAACCCCGCAACATGTCCAGAACAGGTGATACACACATGTCGAGGCCTAAGACGGATCGGTCCGGGTCGTAGTCATCGCGGTACTGGTCGCCTGTGGTATCGAGAAGGTCTTGCAGCCATAGAATATAGTTTAGCCTGCTTGTCCGTCAGAACATACGCAAATTTTGCATTGGCAATCTGTTTTTATTCACCTGTTCGGTACCTAGAGTATCAGGTTAGCATGTAAGACTCTTGCGAGCCGAGATAACATACCGGCGGACAAAGTCTGTTGTCAGGTATCTCAACATCCAAATTGAAATCTCTCTTTAAGAGACTCTTGGTCAATTGCCTAAAAAGTTGGTCAGCTATCTACCAACACCTGCAATATCCATGTATGACCGTCCTTACCGTACGGCATCGGGATCGCTAAAATCTAACTGGCCGTTTGGCTTCACACTGATGGCAGAGTCAGAGATGCGTATCAATCACAGGGGCAAGACTGACTATTTCGCGAAAGCCGGCGACTGCAACGCAAGAGCAGTGAAATCGACGTCATCTTTGTAGATATTTCGAGTTGCCCTCATTATGGCTGATTTAGTTACAAACAAGGCAAAAAATGTGTCAGCCTAAACCTGCGCCAAGATGTGCCACGATAGTAGTCGAGAACTAGGGAGACAATCGAGAACGCCTGTAAGTAGACTAGTTAGGTAGTACTCAGTATTATCTACATGAAATGACGATTAGTGGGCGATTGGAGGCTAGATGCCGACCATGGCTGATGGTGGGGCTTACATCGATTTTTCCAAAGGCACAGAAACAATGGTACAGACAGCAACAAAAGTCTCCTGATGTTTCGATGATCCCCATTAATGAACTGGATGCAGTGATGCAGGAACGACGACGATCACCTGGAGAGAGTGGGTAAGTGTTCTCCTGAACGGGCTTGGGGCTGGGAATTTTTGGTCCCTCAAGAGTCAGGCCACAAGGCCGTACGAATAAGGCTGGTAAGGCTAGCAATGAAATGATGTCACAGCGTTGGCCAACGCGTATCGGACTATCAAATAATCGCCGATCCCCCTCCTTTTGACACTCGGGTGAAATAGAAAAGAACAGACGTCCCGGATATTTAAAAAGAATAACTCCTGGTCGAACTTCGAGAACCGCGAGCATTGAGAGAATTTCTACGGAGTGTTCTTTCACAGTTGGATGCCAGTGTGGATCGTTTCGTTTGTTTTGATTCCAAGAAAGTAACCTTGGGTCACATGTTGAGATGGGGAAATTGAAGGAGAAATTCGAGCACGAGGTTGACCATCTGGAAAGTGCTTTGAAAGGTCTGTATCGTATCTTTTTCAATGAGATATTCTTTCTGTCTGACATTGGCTATCAGACTCTCATTTACACGACGCCAAGGCAAAAGCTTACCACTTGAAGCACAAAGTTGGAAAATTCTTCAATATCGTCAACCCCAATCACCGCCATGATGAGGAGCATGAGCGAGAAACGGACAATAAGCGAACTGCGATTGCCGAGTCACACAGATACAAGTCCTTTGCTCCGGTTAGAGAGGATAACAGGGTCAAGTGGTATGTCGACGCGCTGGACTACCTTTGGGCTGTTTCAGTCGCATTGGAGGAGGCAAAGGAGGTGATCTATATCGAGGATTGGTGGCTCTCTCCGGAGCTATTCCTTCGTAGACCTCCTTATTTGACGCAAGAATGGAGACTCGACCAAGTACTCAAGCGCCGCGCTGAAGCGGGCGTTAAGATCTATGTGATTGTTTACAAGGAGGTTTGTCAGCCCTATTAACTGTGTTCAGTCGGTACAACTGACAGGATTCAGGTCAATCAAGCACTGACATGCAACTCGGCGCATACGAAACACGCGCTCCGCAGTCTCTGCCCCGAAGGAACTCCCGGTCACGGAAACATCAAAGTTCTTCGGCATCCGGATCACAATATCTTTGAAAATGCAGCAGATATGACATTTTACTGGGTAAGACCGTCGTGGATTATAATTCTAGCGAGTAATATGCTGACATTCTAGGCGCATCATGAAAAATTTATCGTCATTGACTACGCCGTCGCCTTCATTGGTGGTATCGATTTATGTTTTGGTAGATGGGATGCTCACCAACACCCCCTGGCCGACGTTCATCCAGCGAACTTGAAGGACGAGATATTCCCAGGTCAAGATTGGAACAACAACCGTATTATGGATTTTCAGAGCGTTTCAGATTGGCAGTCAAATGAAGTAAGCAAAGCAGACTATGGTCGAATGCCATGGCATGATGTAGCAATGGGTTTGGTTGGTGATTGCGTCTATGATATTGCCGAGCACTTTGTTCTTCGATGGAACTTTGTCAAGCGAGATAAGTACAAGCGTGATAATGGCGTCGACTGGCTTTTATTGGAGGGCCGCACCGGTGATGACGAAGCGCTTGTCGGGATACAACGCCCGAAGTATCCTTGTGGAGACTATATTCAACATCCTCTCAATCCGCTAGACACCAAGCCGCGAGGAAAGCAAGGCACTGTCGAAGGACAGATTGTCCGCAGCAGTGGTGATTGGAGCAGTGGAATCCTGACTGAGCAGAGTATTCAAAATGCTTATTGCGAGATTATTCGTAACGCTCAACATCTGGTCTATATCGAAAACCAGTTTTTCAGTAAGTCCGCCTTCGCTACAATGCTTCAGATACTGACCTGTTCAAGTTACTGCCACTGGAGACCAGCAAAAGCCCATTATCAATACCATTGGTCGTGCGATTGTCGACGCCTGCGTTCGAGCTGGCAAAGAGGGTCGGAAGTTCCGAGTAATCATTGTGATTCCCGCTATTCCAGGATTTGCTGGCGACCTGAGAAAAAGTGAGGCAACCGGTACACGTGCTATCATGGACTACCAGTACAAATCTATCCTGCGTGGGGAACACTCGATTTTCGGTCAGATCTCCGCTCAAGGAGTTGATCCAAGAGGTGAGTGCTTAGCCTTCACAGAAGCAAATGACTAACTCGATCAGAGCATGTGTTCCTTTTTAATCTGCGCGCTTATGACCGTATCAACAAGACTCCTGCTCTAGAAGAACTAGAGAGTGAAGCAGGAGTAACGTATCATGACATCCAGCGTGGCATAGCCGAGTCTATCATGAGCGACAGCGTTCACCCGGTGGTTGGCGAAGAAGGAGATAAACACGAGGTAAATTACGACGACACACAGAGAGAGAAGGAAGAAAGGATTGCCAGATTGCGCAGATATGAGGAGAAGCAAGAAAGGCGCGGAAGTGGCCAATACCGAAGCAAGGACTCTGTAGCGCATGTTACGATGCTCAATGGCGGCAAAATGTCTGAGGAACCCTGGGAAGGAGATCCTGAGAGTGAAAAGGCAAATTTTGTCCAGGAAGAGCTCTATGTGCATGGTAAAGTGTGCATTGTAGACGACAGGATTGCCATCTGCGGCAGCGCGAACATCAACGACCGGGTGAGTTCACCCTTTTTACAATGCTGGGCTCCAGGACTAACACTTCAAAAGTCACAACTCGGTTACCATGATAGCGAGCTGGCCATTGTTGTTGAGGATCAAGACTTCATCGATAGTATGATGGATGGAAAGCCATATAGAGCCTCGCGCCTTGCCGCTACTTTGCGGCGGCAGCTGTGGCGGGAGCATCTAGGCCTCCTTCCAGCGCAAGACTACGACGCCTCTAAGCACCCCAATGCCCAGCCACCTAACGTCTGTCTGAACGAGATTCTTGAAGGCCCGGAGAACGACTTCGTCACAGATCCGTTGAACGATGACTTGTGGAAGACATGGACAGAGCAAGCCACAACGAATACGGAAGTATACCGGATGCTCTTCCGTACGGACCCAGATGATAACATCCGCACCTTTGAGGAATATGATAATTTCAGACCGCGAGGCGGAGTCAAGGAGGGCCACCTGTTCGACCCGTACCAGCCCGTCAAGGATGTCCGAGAGAAACTGGACAGGATTAAGGGCCATCTTGTCTGGATGCCACTCGATTTCCTGAAAGATGCCGAGATGGCAGAGCCTGGCCTGGCTGTTAACCAAATCACTGAGGTAAGTTCGTTAATGACACACTTAAGAAGACACATTTTGCTGATTTTGTTGCAGAGTATCTATACCTAATCGTCTTCTTTGTCCCAATAGCGAAGTACTTCGTTGCAATCATGATTTGGAATACCATTTTATGACTATTCAAGCGGGATATGAGCTGTTACAAAGTTGAAAAGTTGTACATTCATCCCATGTACAGCATTGTAGGTACAAAACCATAGGCAAAAGCTACTATCATGTGAATATAGCAGGTTTTTAATGAGGAATATATCCGTCGCCACGGACAAGGAGCCAACCATGAAAATGTCGGCATGTTATCAGTCAGATTTAATCCACTCATTGCCATATGTTTCTACCGCTGATGCTGCAAGAGATCAACTCCTTGTATTAAATAGAACGATCACTACTTCCACAGCCCATACTCAGGAAAGTACTTATCATGGATCCGTCTCGCATAATTGACCACGGCCGGATAATCCTTAATGATCTCCTTTGAAGCCGGTGCCCTACCCAAAATGTCAGTACAGCACAGGCAAACCAAGGCAAAAGTAAGTACTCACGCATCGCACACCAACACCGTCGCAGTGAACGCAAACAACACTGCATCCACCTCCGTCGGCCCTCTCCACCCCAGATCCAGAACGGCCCGTGCCGATCGGACTGCTTCGCCTGCGCCTCCGCCACTAGCGCATTCAGACTCTCCCAGATCTCCTGCCGGAAGGCACAGATCTCATCCTCAGTGAATGCCATAATACCCTGGCCCTGGAGATTGCGGGTGACTTTGCGGTAAATGATGTTGCCAACGACGACCTGGACGGGCCGGGGAAGTGCAGCGAGGATCTTGGAGCGCATGGTGTAAAAGTTAAGGACCCATCGTTCGTATGTCTTTCCATTCTCAGATTAATCTCTTCTCTTTCGTGTGTAGTGATGCGACTCGTACCTGGTAAGGACACAACTTCTCCTCTAGCAACGCCTTGAGCGCCAGATCCTGCAGTCGCTCAGTTGGAGACAGGCGCTGGTTCAGATCCTCCGTGAACCCCTTCTCGATCAGGAAACCCGGCCTTCTCCTTCAAGAACAGCACCATATCATCGATTTCGTCCGGCACTTTATACCAGTGTCCAAACTCCTCATATGCTTTGCACGTCACATCCATCCCAAACCCATCAGATAGGATGGACGCCATCCGTCGTCCCAAGTCTATCGACACACTGGGATCTGCTGACCCATGCCCCAGGAATACCGGTGTTTTCAAGTGAGACGCACGTAACGCATTCTCCGAGTCATCGGCGTCAGACTGAAAGGGTGGCATACCGAGAATATCCCGGATATGATTGACTGCCTGGATGTGCGCAGGGACATCGTCACCATCTGTATCATGGGCGAACGGGTCGTCGTCGTCTTCTTCAGTGCCTGACTTTGATTCCTCCTGATTGCCTTCTTCCATTTTCAATAACCCAGAGATCTCCCTTTCAACCGGTAACCACCCGCTCATCCCAATGTATCCTCCAAGGTGTTTGCCCTCTCCATATTCACTCGCAGAAGGAAATCCCCCCAAAAGACAGAAAACAGCAGCCGCACACCCCTGACTCAACCCCCCAATCACGATCCGACTATATCCATCGCCAACAGCGGAATCATTCGACAAGAGCTTTGCCTCTTCATCAACCAATCTCCGAAGGAATTCACTACTTTCCTGTAGTCCATCAATCTGTAATTCGGTCCGGGTATTCGGATCCTTTAGCGAGTAGTTGTCGAACCACTGGTTGATGGGGATCCGCTTCATTACAGTAGAGCACCGTCGACTCGCGGTGGGGAAGATGAATTTGGTCGTTGGGAGGCGCTGTGCGATGTCCGTCGATTCGATGAAGACGTGGCCGAAATCCTCGCCATTACTGCCACGGCCATGGAGGAGAATTATTGTATGCGTATGTTGGTCATTCCTAAGAGGGGGTATGACGAGGGGAGAGGGATAAGTTTTGGAAGGAGGCATGATGTCCGAGTTGGGAAAACAGATGGTTGAGAGAACTTCTGGGAATAAAGTGGGCGGAAAGACCCTTTCAATGGTGCCACTTGTGCCAACGCTGTGGCAGTGAAGCGCCTAAAACAATATCATCATAGGCTCAAGGAGAATATTGACGTACTGGGGCTAGTTCTGTGATTGGGCAGACAGGGTAACAATCATAGTTACGAAGGCGTATATCTAGTCGAGTTCCCTTAGTGAGATAGTACAATTTCATGCAGTGGAAGGCGTTATAACAGATGTCAATGTTTTCTTGTGATTTCTAATAGACAATGAGTCCCAACTATCTGATTCGAACACACTCGACTCTCTTACAATCTTTGGCCCCGTTCATCCCTGCAGTTCTTAAACTTGGGTATACACCCTCCACACCTTCGAGGCAATCCGCTCCAAGTCCCCGGTACCAAATTCGATATCCCCTTCGTTGGGTCCCGCTGGTCGAAGGAAAACCCGCCCGAAATAAAGTACCAGAGGGGCTCCAGAGATGCGAATCTGGCCCTGGGCTGTCAACTGCGAGATTACCACCCGCTGTGTGACTCCCCCGCCCTTCTTAGACGGCTCAGCACTGGTTGGGCGATTGATCAACTTTTACATCTTCACTGAGATTTCCCTCTTGATCTGGCTAATCAAGATGATGAGGACTATTTTCACATCTCCCTTAGAGTCAGTTAACCACCACCGAGGAACGCTGGCCAGAGAGCTTATAGACTGTGAAAAATCCCGATTCAATAACCGCTGTCGGCCATTTGTCGGAACGCCCGTCTGGGAGATGTTGGGGCTGATATGCTTGGTCCGGCCGTTTTCAACGACGTACCTTGTACCTCAGCTCCTGGGAGCGTTTGGAGCTCCAAGTCGAGTTATTCATTTTTGATGACAAACTTGCGGTTGATCATGTCGTGAAAGACCGCATGGGCATGTGCATGAGCTTTGGTAATCATTTTTTCTAGGAGAGTTTCAACTCCGGACTGTATGAGCAGTATGAGTGGCTCAAATTCCAGTCGTTGGAGGAACAAACATCTTGGAAAATTGTTTGCTGGTGCAGACTTGGGAAAGAAATGCATTCGTTTCTCTCACCGGTTTTATCTGCCTCAAGGCGACAATATTCACTATTGAGAACACTGTGGAATTTTTGCTTCCCTTGGTATTGATATTCACTGGTGATGTGCCTCTTCAACCGTGCGTGTTAGTGTCTTGCTTGCTTGGAGGTGTTGGCAGGACTCAAATAGTACCTTCAGAAGATAAGGATCATGACTGCTTATGAGTGGCTTCCATCAGTACAGAGCAGCTCTACTTACATATAGGCAAATATCTTTATATGAAGCGCGCCTGCATTAGATCCCAGTAACAGCCAGAGATCGCGCTCTCCACATCTCACTGGATTGAATCTGCCGGGTTCATCCAAGCTTCCAGGAACCAGTTCCGATTAGAAATAGTTCAAGAAGGGAACACTGAAGAATTTGTGACTGCCTTTGCCCATTTGGATTGCATTCACTAATCATACTCAGGATGTTTCAAGAATTGAGGTGCTCTCTAAGAGTAGCGGGATGACCAGCGCATTCAGATGTATTACGACAACAATATGTTCTGCTCGCATCGTGAATCTGCTGAGAACGTTGGTCATGACGAATTTGCCAGGTTGGGCCACTTCGTTTTGGACTGGTTATATGGCATTGTTATACCTCGAGTTCGAGACGATCCGTAGAAATGACTCGATTTCAATCTCGACTTAATCTTGTTACAGGATACCTGGCCTTGACTGAGTCTCCATAGTCTACCAATGAATGCGATATAGCTGGCCTTTTAGCTCTTTAGAGTGAATAGGTAATCGAAATCGCTGATCGTCTCTATGGAGGTTTGTTCACGAGAGGGATAGTGCTACCAAGGCCATAGGACATGTCTATATTAGGTTACGCCTTCAGCTTCCATACACCACCGTGCCATACACTGGTCAATGACAGGACAGTGATAGCTGTACATCTAACGCGTTGTTTTTACTAAGATAGTCCTCAGTTCATTTGAAGAATATGGGTAGAAGCTATCTATAAGAGACTATATTTATATTTATCAAGACTGTGCACTGCACTGAGTTTGAAGTGCTAGGTACAGTTAGAGATTTACCACATATTATTGCGTGTGCTGAGGAAGGTAAAACTTGTGAATGTTCCCTATTGCCTCTGCCATTTTCTCTTCTTTTCTTTTCATCTTCCTCTTTCTGTTTGTCTTCACTTTCATCTTCACTTTCATCTTCATCTTCATCTTCATCTATCTATTCTGTCATCACCATCATCTCGCCTTCTTCGTCTTCATCTTCATCTAGCACTATCTATTCAGTCATCACCATCATCTCGCCTTCTTCGTCTTCATCTCAGCCACCTTCAACCAGTCATCGCGCTTGACCGCGAACCATTCCTCAAATTTCTTCTATTTTCAAGGTGAGCGAACATTTGTCTGTTTCAAAGGGCTTCCTCCTTTCAATAACAGATCATCAACTAGTTAACTCTCATCGGAATTTGGTGAAAGAAGTTTTACCACAATAGAAACGGTCAGTAAACAAGGACCATCCATCCCCTCACTTAAAACACATCATAGACGAAGAAGCAAAGTGCGAGGTATGCGTTCACCACTTGAGTTGCTACTTACCGATACCAGGAAGACTGATTGAAACTACTCCTTGGACCAGGTGATGGACGTTCAAACCAGGACCGCCAATTAGTTAAACGCTTGATCGACTCACATTCGGCTAATACAGGGTACTATGAACAAGATGCGGGGCAAATCCTGTTCCTAATATTCGATCTACAGCAGGTGAGTAGTGTCAGTTTCTCTTAACCCGCTGCCGCTGGGTGACAGTGGGCTCAAACGCGTTTGCATAGGGCCATACAATCGGATATCGCTTCAAATACTTCAATCTCGGTATCGTTTCAGCCAATGATATCGATACCGAATCGCGCCGGAGCATAGGTAAGTAAGGTAAGTTCCCCTTCCCTCCTTCGCGTTGAACGGCGAGAGATAGTCTCCATGAGGCATCTCTGCATCGTCAAGGGTAGCCTCTACGAGGCTGTTCTGGCACCCGAGCTCGAGGGCAAGTGAAGCTATACTCCTGCCCTGCTCTCCAAATACTACGAGTTCAGAACTTGTCAACCTTCGAGAGCATGCCACGCCGCGAGGCAAGGGTAACCTCCAACTGGCGTCCGTGGCATTCGAGCCCAAGGACAAGCAGAACCTTGCTCCGTTTTACCTCTCAAGAAGCGACAAGTCCATGACTCACTAGCATCTGGGGGAAGGCCACGCCATACGGCAAGACTGCTTCTACGAAGCGTCCTGGCATTTGAGCTCAAGGACAAGGGTAAACTTGATCCCCTCCCGCCCTTTGCAGCAATCGTTGGTGATATTCGTTGCAAGAGCAGAATGGTAGAGGCAAAGCTGAGAGAACTCATGCCGAGGCAGTCAATGCTTCAGAAGAAGCACCTGTCTCTGTGCCACCATTCAACGGCATCGGGAGAGATGAGGCCGTAATGGTCACATATCCCGAAGTCGACACCGAAATTGGTGATGGAACATGTCCAAATTCCAATGACGGCGATGAGAATCAAGATGAAGTTGGAACGACTCATCCGATTCTTGATGGGTGCTTGAGAACAAGTGGATGCTTGTTCCAGCCCCGGTTCTTAGCAGAAATCGTTGTTGTCCATGACACACCAATCTGCAAGAGCAGTATGGCAAAGGCAAAGCTGGGAGAACTCATGCTGAGGCAGTCAATGCTTCAGAAGAAGCACCTGTCTCTGTGCCACCATGCAACGACAGCGAGAAATCCGAGGCCAAGCTGGTCCC